TGCTGAACCCTATGTTTGGTGGGAAAGAAAGAACCAAATCTGAGAAACTGTTGGATGGGAAGTACTTTGTCGCCATTAAAGACAGGGACTGGTACTGGAGGGCGTTTCTTCCCGAGGGAGAAGACAGAGACCATCCTGCCTGCAACCCATTCGGCCCGAGGGGAAGGAGCCTCGAGGGCATGAAGAATTTCCCAAAGACTTTTGTCACGGTCTCGGGGTTGGACATGATCAAAGATTGGCAGTTGGCTTACGTCGAAGGACTGAAAAAGGCTGGCCAAGAAGTGAAGCTTCTGTATCTGGAGCGAGCTACCATCGGTTTCTACCTCTTACCAAACAACAGCCATTTCTTCAACTTCATGAACGAGATAAAAGCGTTTGTGAACGCCGATCGCCAGTAAACGCTTACAGCGTCTGCGTTCTCTCCCTGGTTGTCAAGACAGTCGTTTTCGATAGTTGTGTCTCGGCGTCTACTTACGGCTTTTGATAAGGTGATCCCGTTGTTGCAACCGCCAACGCTGGCTTCTTGAGTATAAGGAGAAGACAGCGACAGCGTTTCTTGGGTTATGTTTGGGGTTTTAGCTTTAGCGTTTTAGTACTAAGCCGGTTTTTCACTCTAGTTTACTTCCGGTCATGCTGCTGTACGATACGTTCGTATACGTATCAATATACACACACACATACACACACCACATATAAAATATCATGATATGTAGAACCACGAAATGGGTTACCGTTTGTTGTGTCGGAATAAATGTAGGGTTTGCGGTTGCTTAATGCGCAAGTTATCTTTTGTTTTGTTTGTTGCGTCTGTAGTGTGAGTTTGACGGTGTGGGCCTACAGCCACTATCCTTCCTCTCCATGGTCTCTCCCTAGCGCCGAAGAGAGGGAAAGTGTTGTAACAGTTTTATCAATAAATGGATATTTTATAAATAGTCTATATTAAGGTCCAATTTTATTACTCTCTTCAAATATATCAAATTACTCTAAAAATAGTGAAAGATCTCTCAAATAGGGTAGAAGTAGAAATATGATATCAATAATCTTATGGTAAATATTGAAATAAACTAATGTCAATCGATGGTTTTCATTACACATGACACTGAATTATTCCGGTTAATGGTGTAAGCCACGTCGACCAGATTATAATATTACATGAATCCCTGTGCGTGTGTACGTGTGCGTGTATATATATATACATACACACAGTTTGCATAATTTTAGTAAATTTAGCTTATATCGCGCATGGTTATCTTGATTACAATCTTATATGCCAAATAAGTATTGGGTTGGGCCCATATCACCGTTCTAGTTTTTTTAAAGCCTAGGAAAACAGAACTACGCAGCGTTTACCGGTAATGAAAACAGCGTGAAGTTCGTGTCTGCATTATGAAAACCGGGATTTGGAACTACGAAACATGCTGGCTCAAAAAGCAAAAACTACCTGACGTTTTGTTCCTCCCGAACATACAGAAAGCCCTCCAAAGTCATTAACCACTACAAGTCTCCACAGACAAACCCGGTCACAAGTAACGGAATGACTAACAAAACAAAGAAAAGGTTGAGACTTTCCCGGAAAAATATGAACTTTAAGGGAAACATGCATAATACGAAGGGAACAATATCCACTTCATAGTCAATGAACCCGGAAAAAAGTAGAACGGGAACCACAATCATTTCATAGGTACTGAACCCACAGATACGAGAACAAGCTTATTTGTAAGCTATGAGTAAAGCTCAAGCCATACATAAAATGGCTTAGGAGTTTATCAAAGTAGAGAATTCGAAAGAGGTACTAATATATCATCATCAGAGAGTTAAGGGACAGTGTCACAGTACCATCCAAAAATCGTTCATCGGATCCTAGCAGCATATGCAACAGAAGCAGCCGCAAAGATAGTTGTTGCCGATGAAACAATGGTCCAGAAGCTTTTCCTCTTGTGCGCCTCTTCTACCGAATGCTTCATCGTCTCCACTTCCTTCCTCATTTCCTCCACTACGTCCTCTTTATTCCTGAACGCGTTCTTGATCGCTTCTAGCTCCATAGCATAAGGTTCAATCTCCTTCTCCTCGGACACGAATCCATCTCTTGTGTTCTGTGATTGATACAACAGAGACGACGTGCTCTTCAGCATAGTCAAGCAGCGTTCTTCGTTTGCTCGAGCAGTCTCTAGTTCTGCTTTCAGGTCATCCATTGCTTTCTTGACATTTACAAGGTCCTTTTCAAGGATACCCTTTTCGTTTTTCAATGCCTCTGATTGATTCTCCGCTTCCTTGTTCTCTCTAACCAAGCTCTCACGCTCTGTCTTCATCTTTTCGAGCTCTTTAACAGTTGCTTCGATTGTTTTTTCCAATTCAGAAACATTGGATTTGAGGTCCTCTACTTGTCTATTCTGCTGAACAAGAGCCTTCCCAGTGTCGTCTCGCTCAAGCTCAACCTGTGCAAGAGAATCCCTGAGCCGGGAAATCTCACGACCAAATGTCTCGTTCTTCTCCTTCTGATGGCTATAATCCTTTTTCAGTGTATCAAGAACATGCTTTAGACTATCAACCTCTCCTTTCAGATCAAAAAGCTCAGTCTCCCGAGTAACTATGTGCTCCTCAAGCTCATTATTCTTCTGAGATAACACGCCAATCAACTTCTCCTTCTCAGAGTTTTCCATGACAGAAGCCTCCATTTCTTTCTCAATCAGGATCTTCTCCTCCATTAACTTCTCAAGCTCGGATTCCTTAACACCCTTCTCTTTAACAAAAGCATCAATCTGTATTGCCGTCTCTTTTTCTTTCTCCATCGCCTCATCGAGATTCTTCTCCAACCTCAATATCTGATCCTGCAAAACTCGCTCTTCGTTTCTCAAGCACTGGGTAATCTCATTCAAATCGTTTAACTTCTTCTCTAACTCAACGATTTTCGCCTCTTTGTCGAGTTTTCCTATTTCCAACGCTTTATTGTCTCTCACAAGCCCTTGGATTTCACTCTTCAGATCATCGATTTCCCTAGCCCTCACATCTAAAGCCTTCTCGAGACCACTCCTCTCTCTCTTCACTTGTTCAATCAACTCATCCCTATTCTTCTTCTCCTCCTCCAAACCATTGTTCTCCGATTTCAATTTGTTAATTTCGTCTTCCAAAATCGATTCTTTCTTTTCCAATCCGATTACGTTCTCTCTCAACCGAATCGTCTCTTCTTTCTGCAAATCAAACCCACTTTTGATCGAATCCCTCTCTTCGAAAACCCTAGTAAACATTTCCCTCTCGCTCTCGAGCTTACCCAACAACTCAACTGCTTCTCTTTTCAAAACCCTAATCTCACGCTCTCTCTCAATCTTCTCCTCTACCAGCCCATCAACACCATCGCCCATCACTCCCAACCAACTCTCAACAAAAGCCATAATCAGATCCATTTCCAGCTTTAACCCGATATTCTCATCACTCTCCCGACTCAACTCGCCCCGCAACTCCGTCTTCTCCAAACCTGCGCCAGCCAACTCGGCCTCCAACGCATCCTTGGCCTGAGCCATCGACTCAATCTGCTGCCTCTTCTCCACCGTCTCCCTGAGAAGCATCCCGTTGAGAGACTTCAGGCTCTGGACCTTCTCCTCCAAAGAATCGTGGTCTTCCATGGAGGATTGCCGACTTAAAGCTGCGGCCTTAAGGTCAGTGTCACGGACTTTGTGGTCATGGTCATGGATTTGCTCAATGGCTCCATTGCTTTGACCGGTCGCTTTCTTCTTCGCCATATTCTTCTCTGAGTGCAAAAGTGGGGGCGAAAAGATTAGGGTTTTCGGGAATTTCAAGGGTCAGGGTTTTGCTAGGGCTTTTATGGTGGGAGGCGCGAGATGTAGAGAGAGAAAGCGACGAGTGAAGAAATGGGATTCGGTAGAGACTAGAGAGGAGATTTGGGGGTAATTTGCAATTTCAAATTTTGGGGCCCAGATTTTAAGAAATTTTTTCGTGAAGTTAAATGTATGCCAAGTGGGTGCTGCGTGGCGTGTTCTCAATGGTTGATGAAATATATATACATATATATATATATATAATATTGATGTTTTTTGGAGCAAACAATTCTTTATCTTAAAAAATCCGTGGTTTAGCAATAACCAGCCTAATTTCTAAAATAGGTGAAAATTAAGATATTCCTCACTACCTAATAATCATATCTGTCTAAATTTCTCAATTTATTATAATCTTAACTGCATATTTTAGAAGGAAAAATGATGATCATGGACAGATTTGTGGCCATGGACCCCTATCCCAAAATGGGCCGGATCCAAGATAAGCAAAATCTAATTATTGAAGCGCGGGACCAAACGAGCTCTAAGGTAAATAAATAATTAAATAAATCACACAAGCAAATTGTAAATTCAACAAACAACGAAAAATTGTAATAACAAAAAAATAAATTTAATAAATGGATCGTTCCGACACCAACCATTTGATATTTTATGTTAGATAAAAACAAAATAGGTGTAGGGATCTGAATTCAGGGCCAGATCACGAGTCGCGTTGTTTGACTCAAATCCACGTCAGCAAAACCATGCACATAAGCATATGTAATTATTACATAGTCCTCCAAATAGTATAAAGTAATGCAAATTACTCAGTTTGAGCAGATTTGTCCAGAATAATCCAGTTGGGTTTTTTGTCATCCTGTATATCCACTTCACATTATGTATCTACACATATACACGCGCACATATAAGGAATGTATATGTACATGTGTATATACAGGGTACTAAGACACATATATCTATATATCTATAGATATAGGAGAAGAAATCTTTCCGAAAAATAAAGGATCGAATTTCTTCCTACATCCCAAAGAAGACAACTCCGTATTTATCGAGGTGAGTGTCCGAATTTCTTACCCATTTTCGTAGCTTCGATTTTTCTCTGAATGTATATCATGAATCTGAAGAACGACACAAACCCGTATTCTTCCGTATATATATAAACATGAGCGTATGTTTTCGTATACGATAGGAAGAAGGAAAATGACGGGAAGAGGAGATGACGTGGAGAAAATCAACGGTAAATCTGAGCCGTTGCTGGGGCCGGAGAAGGGATCCGACGGCGACGAGGTTTCGTGGATGGTTTACGTCAGCACTTTCATCGCCGTCTGCGGTTCCTACGAGTTCGGATGCGGCGTACGGTTTTTCTGAACCTAGAAATTAGGGTTTAAGAAATTATAATGACGCAATAAATTAGGGTTTTGGTTATTGTGATGCAGGTGGGTTATTCTGCTCCGACACAGTTCGGGATCATGGAAGAGATTAAGCTGTCATATTCCGAGGTATTATCCGGAAAAAAATGAATTAAATCGTGATTTCTCGCATTAATATAATGAATATTTGGTATTTATAAACAGAAAATTCTAACGAAATATTACATTTAAATTTCAGTTTGCAGTTTTCGGTTCGATTGTGAACATCGGAGCTATGCTTGGAGCTATCACATCTGGAAAAATATCTGATTTCGTGGGCCGAAAGGGGGTAAACAGAAATCGAAATATCACGTTTATTTATTAAATACATTTCAATTGTATGGCGTAACTCTAATATAATAGATAATTTTTGTAATGTGAACATAGTTATAACAATTTTTTATTAATTTGTCACGTGGTTCATCCAGGCTATGAGAGTGTCATCGATAATCGGAACCGTTGGATGGTTGATTATTTACTTAGCCAAGGTTACATACTTTATTTTTCACAAATCCTATAATCTAATATACTTATTATTTAGAATTTAATTATTATTAAATGTTCATCGCTAACAATTAGGGAGCTGTGCCTTTGGATTTGGGAAGATTTTTGACTGGTTACGGCTGCGGAACCCTTTCCTACGTGGTATGAATGATACTCGACGGTCCATTTCTAATGATCCAAATGAGCATTTTTATTCACATTTAATAAAATTCAAATTAACAGTTTAAAAGTAATTAATTATAGGTTCCAGTGTTCATTGCGGAGATTGCTCCTAGGAAGCTACGAGGAGCTTTGGCAACGCTTCATCAGGTGCGACGGTTTATTATATTGAATAATAAAATTATTCATATATAAAAATTGAAGTACTCGTGAATATTTATATTTTAGCTGAATTTATTACATGCAATGTTTTTTTTTTAAATATATTTTTGTAGCTCTTTATCGTGATCGGCTTGGCGGCGATGTTCGTCATTGGCGCCGTGGTGAATTGGAGGATCCTTGCTCTTACGGGTACATTTACTTGTGAAAATATGTAACCGGTGAGTGACTTGGTTTACGAATCATACCGGTTAATGTATTAAAGTTCTCGTGGCTTGAACGAACCGGGTTTAAACCGGTTGCAGGAGTTATACCGTGTGTGGTTCTGTTCTTCGGAACTTGGTTCATCCCCGAGTCACCGAGATGGTTGGTAAGTCTGATTATTTTAACGAGAAATTTTATATTCGGGTTTGCTTTTACGAAATCAGGAAGAGCAAAACCTAAAATTCCGGTTCGGATTGAGATCTCACGGAAATATCAATAACCAAATCGATCCGGTTTTGTTTGGTATGCAAGGAAATGGTTGGACGGCATCGTGATTTTGAATTCGCGTTGCAGAAACTGAGAGGTCCTCACGCTGATATCACCAGAGAAGCCGAAGAAATCAAGGTACCGTAAAACCGAGTCTTGAAACTAAACCTGTTCTGGTATACCAATGTTTTTGGTTAGCTTTGAATTTTGTCGATTTTGGTTAATAGGAGTACTTGGCGACTCTTGCTGACATCCCGAAAGCTACACCGAGAGACCTAGTAGACAAGAAGAATATCCGATTTGTGATAGTAAGTATATCTTCTTCGAAAACCTTTGGTACATTTAGCCAATTTGGTTCGGTTCGGTTTAATGTTACCAATGCGTCAGGTTGGAGTTGGTTTAATGGTTTTCCAACAATGCGTCGGAATAAACGGCGTAATCTTCTACGCACAACAAATTTTTGTATCTGCCGGTAAGAAACAAACTCAAAAGTAGCGAAATTTAATCGAAAACCGAGGGAGAACGAGTTGGATTCCTTGAATATTAACCGGTTTTCATGGTTTAGGAGCGTCTCCGAATGTCGGGAGCATCCTTTACTCGATCGAACAGGTTATTATTACAGCACTCTGTGCGACTTTGCTGATCGATCGGCTTGGAAGAAGGCCTCTCCTATTGGTACGTTTTTTCTAGTTTGGTTTTTCTTCAAACCGGAGGAGTTTGGTTTACAACTAACCGAACCGGTACATGCAGGCTTCGGCTACCGGCATGCTAGTAGGCTGTTTGCTCATCGGAACTTCTTTCATTTTGAAGGTAATTTATGGATCAAGCTTGTGAATTGAGTTCTTAATTCATGTTAATCAAACCGGTCCAAATAGAACCGGTTGCCGTTAGGTTTACCAACATGTAAAATTCCAATCAATCGGCGAAGTAGAAGTTAGACGTATAGTGATGATACCAATTAGTTAAGAAAACGAAGAACCCGAGAATGAATCGTTGAGTTCGGTATGCATATTTTTCATGTCATCAATCTCTTAAACCGGTTTGTGAATTGGTTCTCAACCTTAACCAGGCGCACGGTTTAGCACTTCACCTCATCCCGACTCTCGCAATGGGTGGCGTCTTGGTAAGCGTTGGTATATATACACACGTGTTTCGGTTCTTACCATCGGTTTAGTCCAATAAACAAGAAGCCGGTTTACAGGTGTATATCGGATCTTTCTCTATGGGAATGGGTGCGGTCCCTTGGGTCATAATGTCTGAGGTATTGTTTTTTTTTTTAATAATTATAACATATTTTATATTTTTATTAGACCATGGACCGGCGACAATTTGTTGTTTATTTAGAATTTGTTTATATTAATTACTTATATATATATGTGTGTGTGTGTGTGTGTGTGTGTAGATATTTCCTATAAACTTGAAGGGAATAGCGGGGGGGCTTGTGACACTGGTGAATTGGCTAAGCTCCTGGTTTGTCTCATTCACTTTCAACTTGCTCATGCTTTGGAGCCCATATGGTATTTTATCTTTTCTTTTATTTAATTTAGATTTATCACTTACATTTACACACACAAATATATGTGTATGTATATGGTCGGTTGAGAAAATGAAATTGATTTATAAATGTAATGCTCAAGAACGGCGTCATAAAAATTTCAGGTACGTTTTACGTGTACGGGGTCGTATGTGTGCTGGCGATTATCTTCATAGTAAAGCTTGTGCCCGAAACCAAAGGCAAAACTTTGGAAGAGATCCAAGACATGGTTTTAACTAGCTAAGATTCATTCATTTTTACAATTTTATTGTTGTACTTGTTCATTATTTATTTACAACCAAAATGTATTAATTCAAATCTTGTATTCATACATTCACCAATAAGGTATTTTGGGATGTTTTTTTTATTAAAAAAGAAGATGAATTGGATACTTGGGGTATAATATGTGTATATATATATGTATATATGTGTGTGTGTGTAATTAATTTTTTTTTACCACGAAATAATTTATTTTGTAGTCTTCACGGACTCTAGTTAGTCAATAGCCCAAGTACTAATGGGTCATGATAGGTCCAATACCAGCCCAATAATATTTATTTCATTTTTTATTTTTAAACATTTATTGTTTTTCCCCTATTTTTTTTTTTTTTGTAAAATGCATCAAAATTATGAACTTATTTTTAAAATTGTAGTTTGTAATTAGAGGATGTTATACCCATATTATTGAAACTTTTGCAAATTCCCATGAATAAAAAAGGCATGATTCAAAATCGAATGGATTATATAATTTTAATGCAATATTGGCATAGAGTCTTCGGACACGTACAAACCTTAATTCTGCATCTACGCTCTGTAAACATGTAAGCAGATTGGATTCGAAGTTTCGCAAATTGTCTGCAATTTATCTTGGACCGTCGTCTTATCGTATAATTAAATTTTCTAATGCGATTACATTAAAATATGATTTGGATATCGAATCATTTCTCATGCAATTACGTTAAATGGGTCCAGCGCACCCATCTCCTAGAAGGCTCCGAGACTTTCGTCCATGAGAAACAGACACTTGTCACAGAAATTCAATATATATTCGTTACAAATTTAAATCCAATTTTAAAATTGTTTAATCACTCTTCCCGTTGTATCTCCCTACATAATTTGTTTTTACAATATATATATATATGTTCCCTTTTACCATACATATATATACATGTGTGTGTCTCCCCTAGTCGATTTCAAGCGTACAACAAGAACATATAATAATGGTCAAAACTAAGCAAACAAAACGTCACTAACTCGCGTAGATAGGTTAATTAATTAGGCGTTCACAATTGGAATACCAAAAGAATTTTTTTTTAAAAAATGACAACTCATATATATATATATATAGATGCGGTGACGGATATCAATATATCAATCTAAGGATCGTGTTTGGTTTGGTCCGAGAGAGGAACAATTAATACATATTTAAAGAAATCATAACCGTTCGGTTATGATGTTGGATTCGGTTCGGGTACGGTTATGTCTTATTCGATTCGGTTCGACTCGATTATTCGGTTAATAACCGAAATGGTCATCCCCTCACCCTTTGCTTGTTCTCTCGAAACTCTTTGGGTTACTTGTCAACCATCGTCGTCGTCTATCCCACTCAACAAACATTTCTAGGAGATACCCTCCATTTTCGTCGACCTTGATTTGCTCCCTCTCTCTCTCACAAATATATTAAATTAATCGTATCGCACATTGGAACACGTCTGCGTGCGAAGCAACAGGATTGACATTTTCTATTACAGTTGACCAAACGATTATGGGATTAAATTTTTAGTGATAAGTTGCGTGTAGTCAACGCCATTGAACAAATCCTAGGTTACAATTTTTTTTAATAACCATATGTCTTGTTTCGAGGCTCAAACTATTCTTGGGATCGAAAATAAATAATGTGATTAGAATTACGTTTTCTTCTATAATTTGAGTTTCGAATTCGAGAGGGTACAAACGTTTTGCATCGTCGTCCGGTCCCATAAGTTACAAGTTTATAATTATTTGTTTAATTCAGAATTATAATGCTAATTCATGTGCTTGGTTTGTTTTCCATATTGGTTTGTTTTTCTCTTTAGTAATTTCCGGCTTGCTATAATTTTTTTTTTTTAGAATTTTATAGTTTTTTTTTCCTTTTTTAAGTTTTAATATTTGTTTTTACTCTCAATTTCTTATTCTTATTTATTTTAGATTAGAATATTATTCCAATTTATTCGTTTTGTTCACTCTGTGTTTTTCCATTTTTTTGTAGTTCAGTATACCGATAATGTTTTTTTACCTTATCGATAATGTTTTTTAAATGTAGATAAATTAATTTAATATTCTATTTTACCATTGCCATTTTTATATTTCTTATACGGTAGCGAATACTTTTAAAAAAAATACAAAACACCTAATATTAGGGAACATGTTTTCTGAAAATAAAAATAAAAATATAAATATAAAAACTACACTAATTCTATATAAAGATACAAATTGTATACGATCTTTTTTCTCTTCCAGAAAGTCGTGCTCCACTGTTTTAGTTATCTCCGTTTGGGTATTACTGAATAATTTAGTATTATCAAATGACAAATTTACCCCTCTAGAGATTAATACATCAGAGAAACGTCTTATTTTTGTCCATTTAAAAAAAAAAATCCAAAACATATCGTTCTTAAAATGCTTTCTAGTTAACATGATTGATGAATAAATTTGTTGAATAACAATTAAAATCGTGTTATTTTCCTGTGTATTGTATGTGTGATTGATTGAATTCGGGATTTAGACATTTAAATTGTTGATCTTTACGATGGACTGTATAAATATATGTATATAACCTTCAATATAGATTGGGTATATCTATTTTGTTTGATTTTATATATCAGTAAAATTCATTTTGTACTTATCAGTAAATTTTATAAATTTTTATATATAAAATATCCAGTTGAAAAGACCAATTCAGATAAAACAAATGGTCCAGTTTTCTTGAAGACAAAATATTGATTTATTTGGACCGTTGCTTCAATTAGTATCCGCTACATTCCAACAATTTATCGTCTTGGGATCTAATGGGAGATATTTATTTATAGGAAGAAAATATTAGCAATTGAATTTAAATTAAAGTTGTATTATTCCTTTTTTTTACAAAGACTAATCACTCTTGAATTTTACCGGTCGTTTTTTTCGTGGATGACTTCAAATTTCTAAAAAGAAAAGCTCGTTCTTTAATTTCTTGTATATATTTTTTATTCTAAGGATATTATATTTATATCTTCTGTTTTTATATTATACATGATTACAGCATCCAAAGTAGACAAACGTCCAAGATATATATATCCATATACCTAATCCAAAACTATATACGAATGTCCTCGGTATCTAGTTTATTTTTTCACATTATATAAAATATTATTGAATTTGGGTGTAAAAGATTTCATAATTGGGGTGTCATTTTCAGATATGGTTGTTGCAAGGTATTTGTATAATATCAAACTGTGGATAGGTTCAATGCTAATAATTTTTAATAACAATTCGGTATTTTGGATTAATTGCTTTATTTTATTTCAAACTTCAATTTGGGGACAAAAATATCATTTTCATACTTCACTTTTGTATTTAATAATGCATATACGTTGAGACAGCTGCGTAATCATTTGGTTTGTAAATAGAATATATATAAAAAAAAACTATGCACACAAGATGTACATGTATGTGCGTATGTAAAGATTATATATATATATATATAACAATATCTTGTGGATTATTTTGAATGATTATATTTGGGCAAAAATTAAATGTGAGAGAATTCGACCTCTATTGTTTACGTGACCGCCTTAATTATCATTGGAGCCGATTTTTATTTTTATTTTCACGTGAAATGAAATTCGAGGAAAATTGTTTCCATTTATTAAAAATAAAAATCAAATTTTATATCCATCATTTTTGTCGCCAAATAAACACCTCATACGCGTACGTCACGTGAATTATAACTTCTCGATTTCGGTACTATATAGTTTTATAATAAAAATCATAAATTTACAAATGGAATCATTTTTAGATGTAAATATAACTCTGAAATATCTCAACAGATAATCCTTAAAATATTCCTTTTATTCAGCGGTCTCTAATCTTTTTTTTGTTTGTCTCATTATAAAAAAAGAAAGCCACTTCACTGTGATTCCACAAAAGACCCATCCCCGAGTTCTATAAAATAAATATCCAAATGACCGAAAAATGATTTAATAAAAAAATTCACTCTAACATTATTTCGATATCTAACCTAAATTGACAAAAAATAAGCAATTAGTTAAATTCTAATGTTACCGCTTATGTATCCTATGATATAATATGAAAGCACGATACATTTCCGGTTATATTATTTCATAAAATGTGTAGGATCTGAAAATCGTAATTAAATTATGAAGTTATGATGAACTAAATCAAAATTTAGTATTTTATTCGTAACAATTATTATTTATCTAGGGGTGTAGTTTTTATAACACAATCTTTAACTCGTATAATATTTTATATGGTTTATATTCAAAAACTAACTTGTATATATTCAGTATTTCCGTACAATAACATGAAAATATTTGACGACTTTCGAACTCTTTAATATTAGGGAACATTTTTTTTTGGACCGAGAAACAATTTAAAGAAAAAAAAACACATTCAATTTTCTAAGTATATAAAGGAAGACAGCCCACTTGGCATTTGAGAATTGTGAGCAAGCAAAACATAAACTTCTCTCTCTCTCTCTCTCTCTCTCTCTAGGAGGGGCTTCTGGGTCTCACTGTTCAATCAAAACAGAGCAGATTTTTCTGTTTGTTTCTCGGGAAAACTAACTCAAGAAAGACAAGAAGGAAAATCATGGGGGTGGTGGAGGAAGAAAGATCAATGGAAGCAGGGCTTCTCCCAAGAAGATACCAAAACGACGACGAAGAGTGTCGTATCACTGCCTGTGTCATCCTCAGCACTTTCGTTGCTGTCTGCAGCTCCTTCACCTTTGGATGCGCTGTATGTTCTTTTTTAAATGTTTATATATATATATATATATATATATATAATTACACACACACACACACATATATATATATAAATATGATTTTTTTTTGTGATTATGATCATCTCATCTGATTTTTGGGATTTTGCAGACCGGTTATTCATCGAGTTCTGAGGAAGGGATTATGGAAGAACTAGGGCTTTCCGTGGCAGAAGTATCTAATAATAATAATAAATAATAATAATAAATAATAAATAATAATAAATAATAATAATAATAATAATAATAATAATAATTAGTCATAGTAATCGTATTTATTATTAATAAGTAAATATTTATGGATATGTTAGTTTTCGGCGTTTGGTTCGTTTACGACGTTGGGAGCAGCGGTTGGGGCTTTGTTCAGCGGCAAAATGGCAGACACCCTCGGCAGAAGAGGCGTAATTACCTATTTACCCTCCATTAATTCCCTAATTTTGCGTTTTATACACAGGTTAATTTCTCCGTAATTATTATTATTTTTGTTTAACTTAATTATTAAATTTTATTTATATTTTCCTCCTTTTCTTTGTCTATGGTTAAAGGCTATGTGGGTGTCTGATTTACTGTGCATCGTGGGTTGGTTCTCCATTGCTTTTGCAAAGGTATTATCCCACACGACTTTAATCATCTTTCTAATCACATTATTAATTATTATTACATTATATTATATGAAAAGTAACAGTCTAATTTATACAGAAATTAAGAATTAATTAACTTTATTTACACGTGGTAACAAAAGGACGTCATCTGGCTGGATTTTGGGAGGATATCCTCGGGTATCGGAGTCGGCTTGATTAGCTATGTGGTAACAGTTAATTTCTTTTTACCGGTTTGATATTAGATTTTAATTGTGTTTTTTTTTTTACACTGAGAGTTAATTTCCGTTACAAAAACTATTTTTAGGTGCCAGTCTACGTAGCGGAAATCACGCCTAAGCATATGCGTGGTGCGTTTGTGTTTTCCAACCAGGTATAAATAATTCCAGAAAAAAAAAATATACTTTTAATAATTTCATTTTATTATTATTATTATTAGTTTTTGAGTTAAGGTAAAATGATATTAACTTTTCCTTTTTATTATTTATAGCTTCTTCAAAATTGCGGGGTTGCCCTGATTTATTTCTTCGGAAATTTCATTAACTGGCGAGCCCTAGCTTTAATAGGTAACTTAAATAATGTCTATTCATTTTTAACCAATATTAAACCAAATTTATTATTTAAAAATTTTAACACGTTAAATTATATTTAAATTAATCACGTTCTTATATGATCCAAATTAATCAATTTAAAATTATTTCTTGGTTTAGGGGCTATACCGTGTTTTGTTCAAGCCGTCGGTTTGTTTTACATACCGGAGTCTCCAAGATGGTTGGTTCGTATATATTCAATAACTTTTTTCTTACGTCATTGATTTGATATATTGGAAAAAAGGAAGAAATTGTGAAAATGATATTTATATATTTAGATTTATAATTTTACAGGCAAAAATTGGTACGGATAAAGAATTGGAAAATTCCCTCCACCGTCTTAGAGGCAGAGATACTGATATTTCGCGTGAATCAACCGAAATACGAGTAAGTCTAATTGTTTTCGAGTTGACTTTTTAAACATGATCAATATCGATATATATATATATATAATATATACATACCTTATATATATATGTGTGTGTGTGTGTGTGAGGAGATTGTAAGATTTAAAAACTAATGTTCGTAAATTTAAGAAATTTTATTTTTGGAGACATGTTTTGATTATAACGAGATTCTGTAATGATCATTTAAACATTCTTTTCAGGCCATGACCCAAATATTGGAACAAGATTCGAAGTCGGATTTGTCGGATTTGTTCCAAAAGAAATATTCGCGCACTCTCATGGTACGGGCATTAACGATATTGAAATATAAAATATTTATAAAAAAAAAACATTTTTGGGTGTCATGCCTTATTTTGAAAATAGTAATTGAATTATAATAGTATGCAATACAGAATTCTAATTATTTTAATAATATTATAGAATTTAAATTTGTGATTACTACTTCTTTAAAATTTACCAATTTAAACTTCATTTTGTTGTATTTTTATCTATTTTTATTTTCGTTTTTAGGTGGGAATTGGGCTGATGTTGATACAGCAGTTATCAGGAAGTGCTGGTGTAATTTATTATACAAGCACAATATTCAGAAAAGCTGGTAAGAAAATAAAAACAATATGGAATATTTATGTATATTTATCTATTTAATGTTTCAGAAATAAATTGTTCTAACACTTCAATAATCACGAGAATGTAATTAATTTTAATCTGGCCCTGTCCATGATTGATTACATTTTAAATATTACTAATGTTTTTTTTTTGAAACAGGCTTTTCGGTCGCCATTGGGTCATCGATATTAGGTCTTTTCATGGTATTTTTACTTAGCTTATGTAATATATGTTTTATTAATTACTGTTTCCTAATTATTTTAATTAGTTTTTATTGGCCTTTCGCAGATACCTAAAGCCATGCTTGGCCTTATCCTCGTAGATAACTGGGGAAGACGACCTCTCCTATTGGTCAGAATTTATTTTTTAAAATTAAAATAAATATATGAAAAATGAAAATCTTCCGAATAAACAATAAATAAATCAAGAGAATATATATATTTAGAGTTTCGATTTATAGGAATAATTATTATTCGTTATTTATTGTAGGCTTCTGCTAGTGGGATGTGCATAAGTTCCGGACTTCTAGGAGTTTCCTTCACGTTACAGGTGATTACATTCTTCACGCCATAAAATTCTTGGGAATTAAATATACGCAAATTTAATGCACGAAATCTGACAAATACCTTACATTTTTTTTATCCTAATTTATCACATCTTTGTGAAATAATCCGCATTAAACAATATAAGTTTCAGCAATATGCCGAAAAAGGGGATATATATATATATATATATATAATAATATCCTTGATCTCTTTTTATTTATAATTAAAAACCTAAATGGATATATATAGTTTTTATATTTGTATCCATATAGATTTATGTACATACTTATACTTTTTTTTTCGTTATTACAATGAATAGAAATTTCAATTGGTGCCGGAACTTACTCCCATATTCACATTTCTCTGTGTAGTGGTAAGTGTTTATAATCATTTAGTTTTGTATCATTCATTTTATATTGTTCATTGCAAAAAAAAAAAATTTATTTTATAATTGCATATTCACATTATCCATGACTAAATTCTTGGGAAAATTTTCCTTTTATTTTGGGGAATTTTTAAGGTGTATATTGCAGCATTCGCAATAGGAGTGGGTGGGCTCCCATGGATCATAATGTCAGAGGTAAATTTTAATGAAATAATTAATTTAATAAATCTATTGAATTTACGGTAGAATTATATGATTTTTTTGGGGTGCAGATATTTCCAATAAACATAAAGGTTACGGCAGGAAGTTTAGTGACTCTAACATCATGGTTAAGCAGTTGGGTCGTCACTTACACTTTCAACTTCATGTTCGAATGGAGCGCTCAAGGTCGGTCCCCTTCTTCTTCTTCTCCTTTTTCAATTATTTTCCATTTACTAAATTATTTTTTAAATTATGTTTATCTAAAATTATATAATATCAGAAACAAAAAACAATTATGCCAAAAATGGAAAAAAGGGAACACTAGCAGAATTATTTATATCCACTTAGGGAAACGGGCCCAATGGGCCACTCCTGTCTATTCATCATTCTCCCTCTTTTTACAATTTTTTAAATATATAAACTTCATAAATAAGAATGAAAATTAAATCATATAAAACATAGATAACAAAGAAACGTTAACAAAAATAAAAAGAAAATATCAGGATTTTTTTTTTCAACGGAAGGAGTTTGGTTTTAACTTTTAAGCGGTAGGTATATTCCATTTACGGGTTTGAGATTTTATGAATTTAAGGTTTTATGTTTTTTGATATACCAATATGGCTAATTTAATCTAATATAAAATATAATGATTTTTTATTAAATATTTGTGATATTCGAAAAAAAAAAACAGGAACGTTTTATATATTTTCGGGGATATGTGGAGCGTCGTTGGGGTTTATATGGTTGCTCGTGCCGGAAACCAAAGGGCTCACACTTGAAGAAATACAAGCCTCCCTCACCACTCAGCATGTTACGACGTTCTTGGAATAATTTATTTTTTTATTTTTACACTCCGAATATTATTATTATTATTATTATTATTATCAATGTATCATATGTGTATTCTTTACACTGTTTGTACGTATGCATACGTATGTGTAATTATTATTTGAGTTTCTTTTTTCAATGGAAAATGTCTCGTCTTTTATGATATAATGGAGAAGAAGATCATGTGAAACCACCACATCATCATCATCGTTACCAATCACCATCACCGTTTGACATTGTTTTTTTTTGTTGAAACCAAATGTTAGTGAAGATCCATATTAATTTCGAGATGATTTAGAATATACGTCATTTTCCAAATTTGAGATTCAAATCTGAGACGGAACAGACGTTTTGTATCTCTGTTTTACCGGTTGAACTACCCAAAATTTAAATATTTGTCGGTGTCAATGGCTGTGCAGATGAAAAAGATAAGCATTAATATGGCGAGATGAGGACCGTACGCATGGAGAAGACACTGATGGGTGTTAGTTTCAGTCCATCTATTTTCTTTTTATTCTTCATCCGTAAATTTGATCACATGGAAAAATCAATTTTTTTTTTTAAATGTTGTCTCCACATATATGAAAGGAAAAAAAGGCGGGAGAACGTGGAAGAAGCCCACGACGACCACGAGGTGTGGTCGGGTCGGGCGATGTGGACGTGGAGAAAGCCCTGTCGCGTGGAGAAGACACTGATTGATTGGCGTTAGTTGTCCCTTTCCGCACCCATGCTTTGCTTTTGCAATCTGTCTTTTTTTGGAAACTGATCGATCGATACATAGATAGATACACTTGTATTATCTACACGTATATATTATATATATATATATATATATATATATAAAAGTGTGTGTTTGTTGATATGGTAGGTACATCTTTTTCCGTGATCCAATTTAAAAAGTTTAAAAATTAAGTTAATTTTATCTGTAAGACTTTAACGACGGGTAACTTAGAAATATTGTGTTATATTGCATACGTAAAGACAAACACATTGGAAAAAATATATAATAATTTATATATATAGAGAATTGGGCGTCAAATCAGAGATATATTAGATTTTGTTGTTTATAATCTTTATATGCAAAAGCCCATGCGCATCATTTCTATGGTCGTCCATATATACAGCAGAAACAACAAATTATCAATACCAACAATTCTCGTCCATTTCTCCCAGAAATAATTCGTCAAAAAATATTTAATAATATTGATTTGAACATGCCATTTCCAAACTGTCCTTTCATATACATATATATGGAAACCCTTTTGACGGGACAAAGAATAATCTTTTATGGTTTTCTTTATTCAAACAAAATTTTAAATTTTTTATAATAGATTTTAAAATGAAAATATTTTTGTGTAAATATATTAGTTTAGAAAACTTTTATAAATGGTTGTTTTGTTTGAAATTTTTATAAATAAGCATAATTATTTATGGATTTTATGAAATGAGACCCTTTCTAAAAAAAATGGTATAGGATATGATGCGATTAAAAATAGGAAACGATCTAAATTTGTTCGATTTATTTTAAATTGCAAGATATGCAAATGGGCTATAACTCCAATCTTAAAATTGTAAAATACTGCATATGGGCCTATAAATTAGAAAAGGCCCAAAAGGCTTATCAACATCATAAACTACGCCCAATAATAAAATGGGCCTATTCCTTTCTAAAACTGTTACTTTAATAAAATTTTCTGGGTAGAGAATATTTTTGGATTTGTTAAGATATATATATATATATATATATATATATATATATATATATATATATATATATAATATTTGAAAGCTCGAAGCCCATTCTCTAGTATAAGAGATAATTTTTGTTAAATGGGCTAATATATATATATATATATATACATATAAAAGTGTGTGTTTGTTGATATGGTAGGGACATCTTTTTCCGTGATCCAATTTAAAAAGTTTAAAAATTAAGTTAATTTTATCTGTAAGACTTTAACGACGGGTAACTTAGAAATATTGTGTTATATTGCATACGTAAAGACAAACACATTGGAAAAAATATATAATAATTTATATATATAGAGAATTGGGCGTCAAATCAGAGATATATTAGATTTTGTTGTTTATAATCTTTATATGCAAAAGCCCATGCGCATCATTTCTATGGTCGTCCATATATACAGCAGAAACAACAAATTATCAATACCAACAATTCTCGTCCATTTCTCCCAGAAATAATTCGTCAAAAAATATTTAATAATATTGATTTGAACATGCCATTTCCAAACTGTCCTTTCATATACATATATATGGAAACCCTTTTGACGGGACAAAGAATAATCTTTTATGGTTTTCTTTATTCAAACAAAATTTTAAATTTTTTATAATAGATTTTAAAATGAAAATATTTTTGTGTAAATATATTAGTTTAGAAAACTTTTATAAATGGTTGTTTTGTTTGAAATTTTTATAAATAAGCATAATTATTTATGGATTTTATGAAATGAGACCCTTTCTAAAAAAAATGGTATAGGATATGATGCGATTAAAAATAGGAAACGATCTAAATTTGTTCGATTTATTTTAAATTGCAAGATATGCAAATGGGCTATAACTCCAATCTTAAAATTGTAAAATACTGCATATGGGCCTATAAATTAGAAAAGGCCCAAAAGGCTTATCAACATCATAAACTACGCCCAATAATAAAATGGGCCTATTCCTTTCTAAAACTGTTACTTTAATAAAATTTTCTGGGTAGAGAATATTTTTGGATTTGTTAAGATATATATATATATATATATATATATATATATATATATATATATATATATATCCCAGGTGAGGTGAGGATTTTCGTGACATAACATAAAACGTGTCGTCATTTGTTTCGTTTTGGTTCCGACGTGTCCAATTAGTTAGGCCATAGAAGAACACACACCAAACTGATTTTCTTTTCTTCACGCAGAACATTTGAACTTATTATTATTCATCACATGCATGCAATCTTTACGTATTTCTTAATTACACGTATAGTTATATATGTATGCATGTCACGGAAATATAAAACGGGCAGAAAATATTATAGATAATAAAATTTCAAGTTAATTATATTATTAAGTTAAAATAGAAACCATAAATTTTATGCCTAGACATGAAACACATGTCTTTTCCTTTCGAGAATTACTATAAAAACACCACGAGATCCAAACATATCGCATACACATAAGAGCAAAGAAAAAAAAATAGCTAAAGCATAGATTAATTTTCCGACCGAAAACGTAAGAAATGTCTATGCTCGGGAGATGCGTCGGAAAAGCTTTTCCGGCAGCGGCGAACCTCGCCAACCTATTGCCGACGGGGACTGTCCTCATGTTCAAAACCCTACTCCCATCTCTCTCCGACGACGGCGCGTGCAACTCACTCGCCAACTCGCTCCTTACCCTATCCCTCGTACTCTTTTGCTCCGCCGTGTGCTTCTTCTCCTCCTTCACTGACTCCTTCATAGGTCCCGGCGGCGAGCTTTATTACGGAATTGCCACTCCAAAAGGTCTTCGTATCCTCAACGACGATTCATTCCACGTCGGGTAATAATACCAACAGACTCGGGATTTATAAAAGAATGTAACTGAAATTTCTAAAATATTCCCAATTATCCTTTGATTTTCCTCCGAGCAGGAATAACGGAGATCACTGCATAGGCTGAGCTTGATCGATTTCGTGCATGCGTTTGTGTCCTTGGTCGTGTTCTTGGTCTTCGCCGCCACGAGTCTGGACGTACGGAAGTGTTTTCTTGGCGGTGACGGTGACGGGGATGGGAAGGGTAGTTTGGACATTTTGATGAGGAGTTTGCCGGCCGGGGTGGGGACAGTGGCGACCTTCTTGTTTGTGGTTTTCCCCACTCGGCGGAGAGGAATCGGATGTACGTCGTACGGACATGATCGCTAGTTCTCGTATATACGTACATTTATACATATACGGCGCACGTGTGTATTTTGTGATGATTAACGGTAAACTCCGTGGTGGCTTGTACGTACTTTTATACGAAGAAAATACTATTTACTCTGTGTGCGCGCGTATTTAGTAAACGCTTAAAGCATTTTAATCTCGTGTTTTTTACTCTCTTTTTTTCTCCCTAAAAATATTCATTTTAATCAAATTACATTAAACGTATTTAAAGAAGAAAGATTCCCTCGCCCCCAACGAAATCAAAGATCATGCGAACTGTTCCTTCATCATTTTCTAACATGAAGAGCTACGAAACAAGACTCGGGCTTTTCCCCAGAATCTGATAAAAGAAACAGAAAGTAACAACCGGGTAATATGCTGCTTAGAGCTACGAAATCCTGTTCATAACCCCAAACAACTTTCAGATGCAACTGAAAGCAGCAACAGTAAGATCACAAGAGACTCCTGCTCGGTTCGATTATTTGACTTTGTATCATTATGGTTTTGAATCTTACACTATTTGCTTTCAAAATTTTTTAAAAAAAAAACATGGATGGTTAAGTTTTTGCCTGAATCCTTTTTACCAGAATGTCGCAGCTTTCAGACCTTGAGCCGGCCGCAGAGTCGCCAGTAGGCTCCCGTGTGGAAAAGTGACTTCTCAAAGACCCACACGTCTCGTACAAGAACCTGCACAAGCAAAACACAAGAGAACTCTGATCTCATTTTTTTTCTTTGGAAACTAAGCCTGTGAATGGTAATTGTTCTTTTGCATCAGTGGGTGTCTCATTGTACGTAAAATTTTCAGCCAATAAGATTAACTTTTTGGAATCCGACAATCCCATATTCAAGAAAAGATATCAACCTAAAGCCTACCCAGAAAAGAAAACTATCTACTTTAACGCTTAAACCTAACCATGCTCGCACTAAGGTTAGTTGTTTCCTTGTGTTTTCATGATTTGATGCAACTTTTTCATTTGCCAGAGAATTCAGATTTCCCGATGAAAATCCCGCAGCGTTTTTGGGTCCAGACCAAAAACAGCATCTAGTGTATCAAGTTACCAGCAGGTTGAATTCGTGTTTCGTCTGATTCTTTCTAACTATTACGATCAGGATTATCACAAGTCGATCGTAATTGGAAAATATCATAGGTTTCGAGTTTAGCAATAGGAAGATACTGATACAGTGGCATTGATCTTACCTCTTTGTTCCTATCTCCAGCTACAACATTGCCTTGTGAATCATATGCCTCGAATTTCTGGTAACAGAAAAGATATCAAAACTCAGTAGAAGATCCAACAGAAGTAAAAGTAAACCGATAACTTCAAAAAAAAAGTGACCTGCTTCGTCAGAAACTCGAGAGTCAGTTGTATGAAAGCTTTATTCATGTCCTTCTGATCGATACCGATCTGAGCAAAATAATTGCCAAGGAAAAGAACTGTTATGACCGAAAATCAGATCATGGATGGAATCTTGAATCCCCGTCTTTAGATTCAAGAATGAATTGGGTTGGTACATAACATTTTCAACCATATATGTGATGAAAAGTTCAAGCTTTTTAAAAGAACTTGCCAGCCGAGCCTGCAACGTTCGTATTTTGTTGGCTGGTTCAATCATTTCCCAATAAACACTGCCCCACACAGCTTCCCTTTGTTTAATTTCATTCTTCAGTGTCTGCAGTGCAAACAAACCTAAAATGAACAATGATGTAAATTGCAACATCTTTAATCTGTCCATCAAAACATGAATTATCAGAAGGGTCAAACTTATCATAAAGCTTACAGAATACATTCTTTCCGTTACGCTTTTCCTTATGGCTTTTTTGTCACCGTTGGCCATCAGAATGTTAATCTGAAAAGATTGCCCATAAAGGAAGTTCAATATGTTATTCACTAAGTATGTAAATTGTAATAACAGATCATACTTTACCTCCTTGTATAATTCAAGAGCTTCTAGGTAGAACTTATTTTTTGAGTATCCGGTCTTTCGTAGCTTAGCAATAGCATATGCACTTCTTAGCTGAACAAAGAAATGTTACACGTTAATGATATCCCCAGACGATCAGTCCATAAAGATTAAAGATATTTCAACCTGACGAAGAAAATCTTCTTTCGTTCTCTCCCAACCACTTCTTGTAAAACATCTGAAAACAGTTAACGAGAAACTGGCTGAAGCAATCACGACAGTACAAGGATTAAACATGCTTAGAAACTTGATGAATAACCGAGAAAGCGGAATAAAGGACTTTTCCCTCGTCTTGAAATTTTGTATTTTGTATCCTCTAAAAACTAAATGTTTGAAAACCAACACGATTTGTCAAATGCCCATCTTACCTCCGCCAAAAAGGGATTGGCTCCCTGATTGCATATGGTTCATAAACAAATCCAGGGCTCATCATTGAAAATTTTACAGCACTCTGCATATATAAACCATGATATAAGACAATCAAACCACAGGAAGTAATCTGTTTTTACATATGCAGAACAAAAATGAAAGAGAACGACAATTGAAACTGAGATGCAAAAAACACACCGTCTTCCTTAACTGAGGTGAAGCGTTTACTTGTGCTGCAAAGGACCTTTTATCAGCAGCCTTGGAATAAAACAAGAGACGAAACGGCTTATCAGCTTGGCGAAATATGTAAACAATCCATACAAACATCATTAATCAATAAACAAGACCCGACAATGGATCTGGTGATTACCATTGTAGAACGAAGCATATGCGTATTCCCAAGGGGGCATGAGAGAGCATTCTGCCTCTTGTATAAGAAAGAAGAACTCTCTCCATAAGGTTCAGGAGCTGATACGAATGGAAAAAAGTACAACACTCATACACATCAAATTGCAGTCAATTCAGGGGAAGAATGGAACTTGGTGCCCCAAGGAGAAATTACCTTGAGAAATGCGATGAAGATAGCTCCTCGAACTCCCAAATCTGAAATCATCAGCAAACGAATTAAAGAGAATTCATTATTCAATCCCGAAGGTTGGGTAACCCATATGATTAAGAAGCTAAAAATTCGATCTTTGATTTCAAATCCGATGACATTTTACTCCATTTCACAAACTCAGTATAATGTATGGCTCATTTGTTTCCCCTTTCCTAAATTTTCTCACCGACCAAACAGAGCATCAAAGCTGGAGGCTTGCATTTAATTCAGGGAAATTTCTGAAATCTATAACCCGATTGGGAGAGAAGAAATGGGTCTATTTTACAAGTTGAAGAGAAGCAAACCAAAACCAAAACTTTCGCACATTGTCCACTCAACTCAATTAAACGCAAAAAGTCAAGGAAGGAATTGCTCACAGAACAGAAGACTCGCGAATCTCTGATGCTCGAAACAGAGCGCGAACTGTCTGAAACCTCCTCGCGAACGCCATTCTCGATCACGGAGAGAATTTTTTTGAAAAGAACCCTAGCTTTCATCGATCTCGTTGGAAGAGGTTTCGGTTGTTCGATCTGCAGGGTTTAAGGAGGAAAAGTTTGGTACATCGCGGAGCACCGTATCGAATGAAAATACACACGTGTCATCGCGGACTCGTCTTTGAAAAATTATTCTGGATTCAGATTCTAATCGCAAACGCAATTTTTTAGCGGTTGGAAACGTAGATTGCGGACACTAACGTGGACAAAAGCGTCTTCAAGTAATTTTCGCGTTGGATCGACCATTGTTTTGTGTTTCAGGATCAACCTGAAAAATATGTTTCAGGTGTCACACAGAAATTCACTCGTACATATGATCGGTCAGACCACTATAGAACTGTGAAAGATATCGGGGGTATATTTGTCAATTGATAACTACAGGGCCAACCCGAAAGATTGCAACTAATACAAATACCTCATGGAAAAAAAACAATAACTTTCATATTGATAGTTTTGCCCCTAAATTATGCAATATTACATATATAAGCCTCAAGCAAATATTTGAATCAAATTTCTCAATAACTAAGTCTGCATAAATAGGATTTCAGGAGGAGGTGCACCGGAATCCAACGGAGGAGGAGGATCAGAATATTTTCCCATCAGAATTCTCGACGCAACAAATATATTCGCTGCTTCGGTATAATGAATTCCATCCCAATTGACGTACTTTGAACTATCGTCGCAAGTTTTGGCCATAACAGTTGTGCCGTTTAGAACCATGGTTCCACCGCAGTTAACTCGAGTATCATAGTTTAGAGGCGGTCCTCCGTAGCCACAACACGTTGTTATCGATTGATCAAAACCTATACAACCAAATTCTTAGATACGATGATCGATACGATTTGATAATACATAGTAATAAAAAAAAATCACATTTAAGTGTTTATGTTTACCGTATGTGGAGTGATTCGAGATGAGGTTAGATTTGATCGAGAAAATATCTACGTGGGTAAAATTGGAATCGGGGAATTTTCCAGGGAGTGTTTTGAAAATAGCATGAAGCTGCATATTGAAACTCTTGGCGGCTTTGTTGTGGTCTTCAACGCATCCAAACATGTCAACCTTTGACGAGTCTTTCCCGAACAGAGACACAACTTGAGCTAAACACCCGAGTGGCCCTGTGTTGTGTATCCAGAAGTTTCTAGCTCCTTCTGCGTATAATCTCTATATAAAAAATAATAATTATTGAATGTTAAATAACATATCATAGTTTAAAAATACGAAATATTGAAATGTTTTGCATATGGACATGGACCAACCTTTAAACCATCTTGAAACAGATCTAAGATGGTAGGGATCATACCAAGAACTTGATCCAACGTTTTGGTATAAAATGCCCCGGCGAGGTCATTTTGCCCGATATCAAACATGTACAAACCCTTCCTAAAGGATTCTTCCGATGGTAAGTACTTCTCAAGTTCTTTATCTGCATCACAAAACATGTACATACATGCCACATACATCATCATCATATCCATGTATATATCATCAGAACTTTACACCACAGAATTATCATAGACGGCAACGAATGGGAAACCTAGACCATGCACGTTGATACACCATATTATTATTTCAGCCGTCTAAACTCATCTTTGTGCACATTGCGTGTGTGTCCATGCATGATATAACATCCCATACATCCATTACATGTATACACATGCATACATATGCGCATATACATATATGCATCTTTACCTTGAGCGATTAATTGGAGGACTTTGGATTTGAAGGTGATGAATTGGGAGACTTGGACGCCAAAGGAAAAGGGGCTTATGGATGCAGCATTTGCCTTCTGAATCGTGGAGCCTCCCGCTGCAAAGTTACATCCTCCCCTGTAGCTCTGTGGGCCCACTGAGTCCAGATATGGCCTCAAAAACGGTAGGCCCATTTTGTCCACTACAAGCCCAATTAAAAGCCCATTAAAATCGATTGCCACTTTTATTTAGATTATAGTATTTTTTTTTATTTAACATTTTTTTATTATCAGGATTTTTTTTATTGTTTAAATTAATGTTATATAGGTTGTGGTACTAAAAAATTATAATTTACGTTGACGATCTATATTAAAACGCACTAAAACATGTCGATTTATATCATAGCACAAGATGAATTATAATTCAATGAATGAGAATCTTTCCTAGTTAGTATGTTCGATGTAAAATTTCAGAAAGAATTTTTTTTTTGCAAGATGCGATAAAAAATCATAGGTTTCTTAATATATAACAAAAAAAACATACGGAACTAGTAAGGAAAAGGGGAAAAAAAATGGTTGTAATCACCTAGAAAATCGACGATCAGACGGCCGTCGGAGAATCTTCCGGTCGATGCGTTGAAGTACGTTTGTCCGTACGGTGGTCGGAGACGGAACCCGAGACCGGAGGTGAGTTCTCCGGTGTCGGAATTCGAATCTCCGAAGTTGAAAGCCGCCGGAAAATCTTGTGAGATGGGGAACGAACCGACCAAAACAATCAAAATCTGGGAGATGAATGCTATGAAAGGGAGATTAATAAGCATTGGTTGTCTTCCTCTCGCGGTGGTTCCCATGGCTAGTGGTATCTTCTCGTACACAAATCATCCTTCATATACACACACACATAGGGGTGGGCGATCGGTTCGGATCGGTTTAATCGGATTCGGTTATTTCGGGTTCGGGTTGTTCGGGTTTAGAATTTTCATATCCAATCGGGTGTATAATCTTAATCGGTTCGGATTCGGGTTCGGTTCGGATTTTTTCGGGTTCGGTTCGGTTTATCCAAACAAATATTCCGTAAAAAAAAGTTTTATAGAAAAACAAAGAAAAAAAACATTCATAATGTCATGTGAACGAAAATAAGTCTAACATTAATAGTCTCATATAAAAAATAAAAAACAAACATAAAACGTTTCTTCAACAATCTTCTCGCACAAGAGCTCCATATATCGAACCTTAGAAAATAAAAAACCAATGACAAAATAAGAAAGATCATTCAATAAACACAATTTAAAACTAGAATGAATATAAAAAACAACCACCTTGACGAGCTTCATTCTAGATGACACACAAATCAACTTGTCCCGAGTCATCTTGTCCCGACGATTTTTTAAACTCTATACAAACAAAAAAAATAAACAAATTAAGATATTACAAACTTAGATAATACTTATAAAATAACGTAAATATAATGGATACCTTCCGCCAATGCAAACATAAACTCATTTTCTGCGATCAAATCACCGAAGCTACGTTTTTCATCCGAACTAAGAGGAGACATTAACCAATTTTGTGTAAGGACTAATGCTTCAACCATATGAGGAGTTAAACAACTCCGATATTGATCTAGAATGCGACCCCCAGTGCTAAATGCCGACTCGGATGAAACCGTTGAGACCGGTATTGCTAATAAATCTCTCGCCATTTCCGCCAGGATTGGAAATTTACCATTGACCGCCTTCCACCATGACAAAATATCAAATTCACAACCTAAGTTGTTAGACTTCATCACTTCGACCTTTTCCATCAAATAAATATCCAGCTCGTTCGGTGATTCCTCAATAACCCCTTTATCCGCCATCATTTGGGTAAACGAAGCAAAAGGATCATCATCATAAGTAAAACCCATATCGATATCAACATCGTTCACACTACTTGATGAACCATATAAATCTGTACTTCCAACGGATGTTTGTCGACTTTCGCTTCCTTCTCCACTTGGCGTTTTGTATTTGTACCACTCATAATAGGAATCAAACAACTTATGCAACAGATCAAGGATGTTCCGCTTCATATCAGCACTTTTGACACTATCCTTACCATACATCTTGTCAAAACAATGAGTTACAAAACTCATCTTACTCCTTGGATCAAATACAGAAGCTATGATCAATAACTTATTGATCTTTTCCGTCCCCTCCCAATATTTATCAAACTTGAATCTCATTATCTTGGCCATCTTGCTCATTTCATGATCGGGATTATTTGCCAAGGAAGACAAAACTGTTTCAACCTTTATAATCTCATTGTAGCAGGAAGTGGAAGTTACCTTTGTAGTTGCAGAAAATGCCAAAGTCGAGTCATAAAAAATCTTCAAGAAGCGTACCAGTCGATGAGCATTTTCCCAATCATTTTCTGAAGGAGGACCAAGCCTTTTTTTCCCGATTCTGGAATCATCATCTTCGCCAAAATAGTCCTCATAAAGCTTATCTTCCATTTCCATTCGTTTAAACGCATCTCTGTACTTCAAAGCGGAAGATAACATTAGGAAAGTCGAGTTCCAACGTGTCGCACAATCCAAAACCAAACTTCCTCTATTAAAGTTGCCCCCTCCAACTCGACTTTTAAAAGCTTGCAATCTTGAATCAGATGACCTTATATACTTCACAGCATTACGAATACTCGTTACGCTGTCACCCATATCAGACAACCCATCCTTGACAATCAAATTCAAAACATGTGTCCCGCAATGCAAATGCATGAAATCACCATTCAACACAAGAGTATCTGCATTCCAAGCACCCAATCTATTCTTCAAAAGCTTTAAAGCATAATCATTTGCACTAGCACTGTCCACGGTAATGGTAAAAACCTTCTCAATACCCCAATCCATCAAACATTTCACAAATTCTCTTGCAATGGTCTCCCCCTTATGATTTGATATAGGACTGAAACTAATAATTTTTCTGTGCAAACGCCAATTTCTATCGATAAAATGAGCAGTAATAACCATATAGCTCATTGTTGTTATTGAAGTCCAAATATCCGTCGTAAAAGACACCCTCTGCTTGTTCTCATTCAACATGTTCTTCAAACATACTTTCTCATTCAAGAATAACTGGTAGATTTCTCTTGTCATTGTTCTTCTTGAAGGAATCACAAACGAAGGCAATGCAACGTTACAAAAATGTCTAAATCCAGCTCCATCAACAAATGCAAAAGACAATTCGTCCATTATGATCATCCTAACCAAAGCTCTTTTGCATGCCTCTTGACTAAACCCAACAGCAATAAGTTTAGAAGATCCTACTGCAGAATGATCTTTGGTTAAAATTTGTTGAGACCCACTTTCAGAGAGCAATAAGTTTAGAAGATCCTACTGCAGAATGATCTTTGGTTAAAATTTGTTGAGACCCACTTTCAGAGAGATTCTGGTATACCTTGCATGTCTTTTGAATATGATTTCTCAAACTGCTTGTACCCATTGATGAACATCCCGTTAATACAACACCACAATAATTGCAAGAGCACTTCTTTGGATTATCGGGAAGCTTGGTAAAATGATTCCATACATTCGATCTTGCAGGAACTATCCTCTTTCCTTTCGGAGGTAACTGTGAATTTGAAGCCGGTTCTTTCCTTTTATCACCAACCGATTCTCCGACCTTAACTAATTCTGAATTTTGATTTTCCATCTGTTAAAATTAACATACAAATGATACGTTTATACAAAAATCAAAAAAAAAAATTATACAATTCTCCGGCTTGTATACATACACGAATACACACACTGACACACATACACGAATACACACACATACATAATGGAAAAAGTAAGTAAATATACAGATCCATCACCACATGGCAATTATATCATCAATAGCTAATTAATTGAAAACTTTAAAAAAGGAAAATTTGTAAATGCATGGGGGTGGATAGACCATACGGCCATAATGCAAAAATGAGACAGCATGCTTTCGTGTTTGTTTATAATATTTGGCGACGATCAGAAGAGAGGGACTTCAGCTGGGTTACCAATCAAAATTCACGAATACACGCAACGCACATACACATACAAGAATACACACACACACGGATACACACACACACATACACAAATACACACACATACATACAGGAATACACACACACACGATGACACGAATACACACACATACACGAATACACGCACATACATACACGAATGCACACACACACACATACAAGAATACACACACACACACACGGATACACACACATACACGGATACACACACACATACACCGATACGCCACCAACCGAGCCCATAATCTCTCGATACATACACGAATACACACACACATACACGAATACACACACACACACACATCGTACCTCTCTGGCTTTCGAGTTTCGACCTCTGTTACGGAAGAATCAGGGAGAGAGCTTCACAACCTGCAAAGAACAGAACATATGACACTGAGAGAGAGAGAGGAAACCGACGACGACAGATGCAGAGAGAGAGACGAGCGATTTCAGATTGTTAGAGAGAGAAGAGATCGGAGGGGACGGCTGAAGCGGCGAACGGGAAAGAAGCAGAGGTTTGCTTCAGTCGACGCAGACCTTGGGTTCGGCCGGAGGGGACGGCTGAAGCGGCGCGGCAAACGGGAGGAGAGGACTCAGTCGGCAATGGCAGAGGCAGAGAGGAGAGGAGAGATTACTCGATGTGGATTAAACCAAACCCTAATTAACCTAATTTTTTTTAATTCGGTTTAATTGGATAACCGAAACCGATCGGTTATTTACCCGAACCGAACCGATCCGATCGGTTATAAGATTATATTAACCGATCGGATATTTTGTCAAAACCCGAACCGATCCGAAACCCGATTAACCGGGTCGGTTTTACCCGAACCCGATTAACCCGATCCGAATGCCCACCCCTACACACACACATATATATATATATACACATTGTGTGTATATGTATGTTTTTTGTTTGTTTTTTTTTTTTTGTGTAAGGCATTATTAAGTAGGGTTTGCTTATAAGTAAGGAAACAAACAAAATGATAGACTCTCGTGACTTCCTTTTCCTTTTTGGCAATCGAATCAAATGTGCAGATCATGCATGTATGCGCTATGTGTGCGTCTATATATGGATTTTTATTAATTATTTTTAATTTTTCAAGATTTCAACATACATATTTAGAAAAAGAATATTTTATAAAAAATACTCTTACTTATTGTGAAGAGAATTAATATCTTGAAATATTTAACAATTATTAATAAAGGGTCAAATTGAAAAAAATAAAATAAAAAAAGTGAATGAAATTTTTGAAAACGTTATTTATTTGGAAACAAGAAATTATTCTAAAATGTTATGTAAAATTATTCTAAAATTATTAATAAAGTCTAAAATTTGAAAACATACAAAAAAAGTGAATGGAAAATCTGAAAACTTTATTTAAAAATTATTTTAAAACATTATGTAAGATTAAACGGAGAGAATATTATAGAATCCAAAATGGGTAATGCAATTAAGGGGTTTCTGAATTTACACAGGCAATTCAAATATATTTTCGTATTTTGTAATATGCTTTGTGTTGGAGTCCAATCAGTACTAAAGAGTGTTTTATTTTGTTAATGGTGTGTAACTGTGTTATAATCAATTATCCAATAATGTCATTTGGCATGAAGGCACTTTTTTTTGTTTTGCATATTAAAATATTATCAAATTTTGTAATCATGCAAAGCATGAGCTAAATTATTTTAGTTCAATCATAAGTCATGCCTTTCTTTATTTAAATATAAATACCATGTGGAAAATATATGAATATATAGTAGCGAAAATCCCATAAAAAGATTTTACTCCCTCCGTTTCAAAATATTTGTAGTTTTAGATTATTATCCATGTTTCAAAATATTTGTCATTTTACATTTCCAATACATTTTTTTTAAATAAATTCCAATTTTATCCTTACCAAATTCCAATACATTATTAATGATAATATTATTTTTATTATTAAATAAAGGGTATATATGACTTTTATTTTCATTTCTTAAAAAATGTGAAATAAGTTAAAACAACAAACATTTTGAAACGGAGGGAGTAGAAAAATACACGCAATCAAAGCGGCGGCATTAAATGTAAAAAAATTGCCTTTGTTTTAAGGAAAGATCAACATCATGGGGCTTTAAATTTAGATGGGCCGAGATATTAAGGCCCATTATACCCACTAGGCTGTTGACACATCTACGAACTGAGCCGATGCTATGAGCTCAACACGGGGAAGCCATGGCGGCGGCGGAGAACCACGCAGGACCGGAATCGCCAGTGTCGGAAGTAGAGTCGGAGCCGCCGTACATCCACGTTCTCTCCGCCTTCCTCGCCATGGAGCCGCCGGATTACGTCATCTCTCTTGCGAGGTGAGCCACCGTCTTCTTCGGAGCGTCGTCGTCGTCGGTTGAATTTCTTCCTCTTCTTCCGGGATTTTATTTGTTCACTCTATGTTCTGTTTTTGCAGAGAATGCATTGGAGACTCAATTACTGGTAGTGTCCAGAGAGTCTTCTGGGAAAATTGTGTAAAAGCTGTAAGTAAATCCCAGTGTTTCGGTGCAAATATTGGAGATTCATGTGTAATTCGTTTTGATCCTGCCTTTGATCAATTGAATCCGTTCGTTTGCTCGGAAAATTGGAGAAAAGTTTGAAAATTTTCTGTCGGATCCTATGTGAAGCCACTAAGACTATGTTTGGTCAAATTGGCCCTTGAACTTTGTTTTTCCGCTTGTCCCTGGTTTTAGCTCATTCATTTGTGCAGGCTGCGAATGGAAACACATCATACGCAAAAAAGTTTCTCAAGAAACTGATAAGTGAAATTGAGTTGGAAAATGGTGAAGTGCTGGATGAACTGTATGAAGAGTACGCTCTTTACATGTCTTCTTCAAAGGTGTCTTTTTTGTGCTTTCTTGTTTAACACGTAATCAAAACATTATGATTCGATCTGGGCCAGCAAAACTGTCTGACGAGAGTTTGGCCAATGTTAGGATGATGAGACAGCAAAAGAAAGCATAAGAGTTTGCAAAGTCGTTTCTTTCCTTTTTCCAGAAGGTACAACTGTTGCTTGTGTCTTCATTGTCCTCATTTGACTCTTCTTATCAACTTGTGTTTGCTGAACCATCCACGATTTATTAGGTTTGTATGAACACCCAAGCTGTCCAAGGTCGAGGAAGCTTGTAATTCCTCTGAAGTGTTCATTGAACATGCTTGAAGGAGATACGGGGTAGGAATCTTCATATTTTTTAACGGATTAGCGCAAAGTTGCCTCTACTTAATTATGTTCATGTACATTGCTCATCTTGGATCCTGGCTTTGGATTTATCTTTGCTGATCTGAGCCCATGTTTTGAGCAGATGTTCTGTCTGGCCATCAAGTCTATTTCTTTCAGAATTTGTTCTGTCTTTTCCAGATTTCTTTGCTGGTAAAACATGTTTTGAGGTCAGTTTGACATTTTGTGGTATACAGTCTGTTTGTTTGCATTGTTCATCTATTCAGAGTCTTAGGTCACTTTCTGGTCAAGCGTTTCTTCACTTTGTGACTTGATTGGTTCTTGTTTAGGTTGGTTCTGGAGTTGGTCTGGTCGGAATATGTCTTGCACATGTAAAGGCCTCCAAGGTACACCCACAACTAGCGTTCTTGTCATATCGCTGAACTGCCCAAGTAATGTATTTCTTTTTCAGGTAATTTTAACAGACGGGGATCTTTTGACGCTCACTAATATGAAGCTCAATTTAGAAGTGAATCACCTGAATTATGACGACGATTTGGCTCAACAATCCGGGAAAGCACAGAGTACAGTGAGTTGGAAAAGTTTCATATAGCCCACCGTTTAATCATTTTGCAGTTTGACTATATTTGATTCATGAACTAATTCAAGATTGATTCTTTTTCCTCAAATCACAGGTAAAATGCGTTCATCTTCCGTGGGAAACTGCATCAGACGCAGAACTACAGGAATATAATCCAGATATAATGTGAGTACACATTTCACTGATACATTTGATGACAAATACATCATTAACCCATTCAACCTCTTTTCCTATCAGTCTAGGTGCAGATGTAATCTACGATCCATCTTGTCTCCCTCATCTAGTTCGGGTTCTTGCCACCCTTCTCCAAAAACGACCCTCACATTCCGCCGAAAGAGATAACTCTCCCGAGAAATGCTCGGAAAATGAATATGCAAATGCCGCGGGAGAACAAGAGCACGCCCCCGTGGCTTACATTGCGTCTGTGATCCGAAATGCAGACACTTTCAACGTGTTCCTAAAGCTTTTGGACCAGACAGAACTGTCTATTACAGACATCACCGAGAAGCTCAAACCCTTGGAGTTTCTACCGTATATGCGTTCGTACGATCGTTCAAGTGTCCAGCTCTTCTCCATCTCCTCCAGATAACATTCTTCTTCACCGCTTTGGTAATTTCATACACCGAATGCTGGATTCGTTTATGACAATGGCATCAGCAAAAAACAGATATGGTAGTTTTATAAAGTTTTACTCCTTATGAGCGTGACATTGATGGACTTCACTAGGGAGACTGTATGTTTATTGTTAAAGGATATGAAAATTTCTGTTATTATAATGTTTTATTCCTTATGAACGTGACACTGATGGAGTCCACAGTAAACGAAGCCATCTTCGAACTCTCATCAGAGACAGAATCATACACATATAAGGTAAGGCTTTCTCTGACAAAACATAGTCAACAGATTCGTCTGTTTATTCGCATAAAAAAGCATTTTTTTCGTCATTGTAATAATTTAACGTTGCAAACTGTGCATTTGTTGGTTTTAGGATCTTCCGGGCACGTAATCGGAGACGGGAAAGTAGGTGCCAATACCTACTTATCCAGAATCCAGAAATGCCTTGTGCATATAACATTGAGGTAACAGAGACACTTCCACTTAGATATCTAACTATATATATGTATGCTGCTCAATCGCTTAGCTGCTTTTGGATGCAAGCATGAGAAACTTGGGCAAAAAGCATTGAGCTTTCACATGATTCATGGTTTGTTCGTAACAAATTTAGTCGAAAAGCATTCATCTTTCACATGATTCACTTGTTCTATGAGTGTTGAAACATGAACTCGGACATTATATAGGGAAAAAAAAGCTTGGATCTTTTACATCGTTATTCATCTGTTTGACTGAATCAAAGCATGGAATCAGTGACAACTTCAACCGGAAATCCTAATCCTTGTACAGCAAAAAAAAAAAGATTACTTTCACGTGGATTTTCGCAGTTGTGAGATGCATACAATCTTGTGAAACTCTACAATCTTGCAATATCTTTCTTTGCAGGGGTTTGAAGAGTGAAGATTTGCTTAGGGTGGGAATTTCATGCAGAAACGGCACGCCGTTTATGTATAGAAATGAAAGACTGGGGGTAGTTCAGCTTGTTTATGGAGTTACGAGTAACGTTTACGCTTTCTAAATAAGGACTGCGCGATGTTTTTTCTTCGCGGAAGTCGCCATGTTGAATCATGTTCATATGCATGGCATGAGTCATGTGTGGAAGTTTAACGTTTGACCGGAGACAGAGACTTGGAGAACAAGTCAAGTCAGCCTCTCTAGTTTGACCGAATGCGAGAAGAGCAATTCTGACCAATAAAAAGACCATCAATCAATGACAAATTATTAAAATAAAAAAAAAATATTCATGATCAATTTATTATCTATTATTTTTTACTATGTTATTAAATTTCTTATTACCACCCTGGATTCAAACCCAAGTGGGGAGGAGTATTCACCTGGGTTTCTCCGGTTTTTTGGGAGATGTAGTCGAATTAAAGGTACCGTGAATTTTCAAATTATCAAAAAAAAAATTCTTATTATGATTTTGTTACAAACAATTCAGCGAAAGCGCCGCACTAATTAATAGGGGTCGGCGTTTCGGTTTGGTTTTTCGGAATCGGACTGAATCAAACTGAAAAACGGTATTTTCTTTTTTTTAAAGAAAATCCAGAACTGAACCGATACCGGAATCAAACCGAATTAAATACAATATAAAAACCAATTGATATCTATTTTTATAAAACCGAAAAAACCATACGGATATATTTTCATCCCGAACCCGAACCGTTTTCTGGAACGTCCACCCCTACTAATTAGAATTAGAAGGTCATCTTATCTTTGTTATAAATTTAAATTATTTTTCAACCTAGAACCACATAATTACTCATCCTAGAAGTGGGGATGGATGGATGGGTATATTTGAGTTGTTTAATTATTCTCATGTTCAAATTTTATGATTTTGAAAGAAACAAAAACTATATCCCGCTTTTCTATATCAAATTTTCGATTTGATTTACATTAATAAAAATTATATTTCTTTTATTAAAGAGTTTTATTCTTTTCACTTAATTTAGTTTGATAAAATTCACATACAGTTAATTTTATATGAGACTCAATTTTGATTCATTTATGCGTTTTTGGTTTGATTTAATACACTTCTGCATACCCAAAACCAAAATATATACCCCATATATGCATATTCGAATAGGTTTAAATACACAATTATTAACTTAAAAATGTGCTGGTTATCGTGTTTGAGATTTAAAAAAAAAAGTTTGTTTTGTGAGCTAGTTATGAGCTTATGAGAAACATAAGCCAGTTTTTTTTTTTATTTATGAAAACGAAAATAATTTATAATAAAACAAGTGGTCTTTCAACAAAAATTCAATTATAGAATACGATCAGCCATGTAAATAAAGGAATGCTATAGAACTAATATTTTGGGTAAGTGATAAGCGTGGAGTAATGAAAAGGTAATAGTGATGGCTTAGATTAGTAAAACCTCTCTAGAAGGCTGTTAATTGTAAGAAGTTATCTTAATAGTACACAAAAGTCCAATAATCAAATAAAATTATACGCCAACTTTTTTCTCTCGAATATATATATACTTAGTGGAATTTCTTCTTTTTTCACACTCACATTACAAAGATGTTAAATCCCTAATTTCTGTGAGATAATGCGTTTCATATAAAAAATGATTAAAGGTTACTAAATTTTAATATGTACGTATATATAAAACTATATCTATCTGTGTGTATCGATTTATATATATATGAGTAGCATATTGTATACATATATATACACTCAATTATATAGCCGTTCTAAGGCGGCGGCGGCGGCTACACGCTTCTTCGAGATGACGGTCTGAATTTGGTACTATATATATGAATGTTTTCTAGAAAAAAATATTATTTTAGAACTCGGTTGTAAATACCATATTTTAATTAGTCACTTAAAGAAACTTATTAATTTAATGTTATTCGATTTTTTTTAAAAAAAGAAGATGTTTCTTTATTTCTAGTGACCGTAGTATCCGATTCTTCTGGAGGGGTTGTCAACTTTGCATCTTTACATTGTGTGGCAACCATAATTCCACTTATATATATATATATATATATATATATATATATATGTGTATGTGTGTTGTCGAATATTATACTCTGTAAAAAGCTAACGTGTCATCCAATATATATATGTTCGTTGATATGAGTTGGGAATTAAATAGAGCCGAAGATTAGAAGATCCATGATTCCTAGATATATTGACATACTCCAAATAATTAATATAAAGATTACTAACCGGTTATTATGTAAAATCCTCAATATTTTTTTTATGAGGATTAAATATGTTTACAATGTTTTAAAATATAAAAAAAATACAGTATTTATTGAACTTTGAAATTGTTTCCATAAAAGTTAACTAATAAATAAAGTATTATCCATAGTTTGATGGTTCGGTTATTTTCAACATTTTATTTAACGCATCCAACAACTTGGAAGTTTATGTGTGATAATAAACAATTTGCTAAAAAAGAAGTTGAAAATGCATGCACTCACCGCTCGCTTGAAGACAAAATTCTGCAACCATTTGATTTCAAAGTCACGTGAATAGCAAAAAAATAAAAGTTATATGGCAAAAGATCCAAGGTTTATTAAAGAGATAAAGTTATTAACAAATAAAACAATAAATAACAAGGAAAACCTTGAATTTATGCGTATTAATCATGGGATCTATGGAGTTACAAGAACATTGCTACAAACCAAATTTCGACAATCCAAAAATTAATGTAGAATCCTGTGATAATTTCATTAAACAATTACCCAAAAAACAAGAATATATATATATATATATATATGCATATAACCATAAAAGAAAAATTAAATAAGATCCGTTTCAGACGAGAACGAGTTAATGACTTACGACTCCGTCCATGTAGCCCAGAGTCACCAAACTGTCGCTTTCTGTTGTCCCCTCGACTCGTTCGAAGTTTCGTAAGTCCACGTGGCACTCATGTAATGACATCACCTCCCCTTCTCCTCCACCTTCGCCATCTCTCTCTATCTATATCCCAAGCCCCCCACCTATAAACTCACCTTCTCTTCCTCTCTCTCAAAGAATCCTTTTTTTTTTAGATCACAAAAATTGTCTTTTATTTGGGTTTTCAGTATCATGTGGACCTCCGGCGTAAAGGGTTCAATCGCCGGTGGCGGCGTTTCCACGGCGGTCCTCCTCTTCCTCCTCCTGATATCTACGGCGGAGCAAGCAGCGAGTCAACCGGGTCAATCCAACCAGAGAACCGACCCGTATAACTACGGTCGGATCAGCCCGGCTATGGCGGTGATCGTCGTCGTCCTCGTCGCCGCGCTCTTCTTCGTCGGCTTCTTCTCGATCTACATCCGCCACTGCACACGCAACGGAGAATCCAGCCTCCCCTTCGCCGCCGCCGCCGGCGTCCGGAGAGCCGCCAACGCGCAGGCGCGTGGGATCGACGCGTCGGTCATCGAGACATTTCCCACGTTCGTGTACTCGGAGGTGAAGACACTCAAGATCGGGAAAGGCGCGTTGGAGTGCGCTATTTGCTTGAACGAGTTCGAGGCCGACGAAACTCTGCGTTTGTTGCCCAGATGTGATCACGTGTTCCACCCTCACTGCATCGGCGCCTGGCTCCAAGGTCACGTGACCTGCCCGGTTTGCAGGACCGATCTCGCTGAACCGGCTGTTCAACCGAACGAACCAGAGATAACAGGCACTGACGTCGAGGCGCAGCGCGAGGAAGTAGCTGAACCGGTTGCTGAACTGGAAGTACCGGAACCAGATCGTACGCGTGTGAAGTTACCGAGGTCGCACACGACGGGGCATTCGCTGGTACAGCCCGGGGAGAATACCGATAGGTTTACGCTCCGGTTACCGGAGGATGTGAGGAAGAGGATAATGGCGAATTGGAAGATGAACCGGTCGAATAGCGTGGTTCTTCCCAGAGGTGGGAGCTCGAGGAGAGGTAAACAGGTTGACCGGTTAAGGGTGAGGTCCGACCGGTGGCTATTCCACAAAACTCCGTCGTTTCTCTGGCGGAATTCTCGGGGGGAGGGTTCAATTAAACTCGGTGGGACCGGTTCGACCGGTGACTCGGTACGGTCAGACCGGTGGGCTTTCCTTAGGAATCCGTCATTCCTATGGAGGAATTCGTCGGTTCATTCGCCTAGAGGAGCCCACAAGGACGGCGAAGGAAGTTCAGTTCAAACGGTCGGTACGGGTGGTTCAACTAACGGTTCGGTTCGATTACCGGTTTAGTTGGACTTTTCGTTTTTTCCCCTCTTTATATCTAACTACTATAGCTCGTTGTTGTATGTTTGTTTGTTGATATGATGGGATGTTCATAAACGCAATAAATTTTGCCAATTTTTTCATTTATTTCTAAATTTTGTGTAACTTATAAGAAAGACAATCCCAAAGACAAGGGAAATGGTTTCGTACGACAAAGGTAAAATATAAATTCAAATTCAAATTTGTATTTATTTCATTTGCAGAATTTTGATTTGTAAATGTCAACCAAAGAATAAAAGAACTATAAAATAGAGATGGTGGTATATATCTTCCCTTCAAATAAAAGTCTTATAATTCGCCGACAGAGAATATATATATATATATATATATATATTAGCGAATGGATAGCGAATACGTATCATTTCTTGGCTGGAAAGAATAATTTATTGTTTGAATTTTAATTTCATAATAAAACTAAGAATAAACACCACATGGAATCAAATAAAAGAAAAGCAAGAAACGGGGATTAGTTTTACGCACCAAATTCAAAGAATAAATTGAAAAATAAATCATCAAAAATAATCAATCAGAGGTTATCAATTCAGTTTAAATATATAAATGTCATTGAATTTATAAAGAAATTTAAAATATATAATATATTATAGAGATCTAAGAGAATTCTAGAAACAAACATAAAAAAAAATCTAATTTTTCAAATAAATTTTATATTAATAAGAGTGAATATCTAAATCAAATTGAAATATAATTCAAAACAAATCAAATTTCTATACATACACACAAAATAGAAGTGAGACATGAAATGTCCACATTTACCAACAATATTTCCTTCAGAACGTCAAGTCAAACGTAAGAAATAGGAGCATGGAGCCTTAGAAATATGAAGTCTTCGGACGGCCGGACCAATTAAAAATATAAAATATAAAATCTTCATATCCAATTGGTTTTATTGGATTTAGAGATATTAAAAAATATTTAAATTCCATTATCCTCCAATCTTTGCCATAAATTGACATGCATGATTTTTTTAAATTATATTTTGCTCACCAACACGATTGGTATATATATATATATAAACATAAGATTAACCATATATTATAGTGAAATTAGAAAGATGATATTTCCAAGCAACCTTCGTATACCATATTATATATTAATAAGCATCGATTCAGCGGAAAGAAACAATTTCTTACATCATATGGACCGTCATCATTATCTCTTTACCGCCGATTATTTTAGGATTTATTGTCCAACATTTTATTTAAATCATTGGATAGCATCCATTAGTCAAATTCCATCTAGAAGCATTTAGATCTTAATGCATATATGTATGCCGTATGCCAAAGCATTCATATATATTTATTTCACCCGCAACGCCTAACAAACTATGTGGACCCAAACCAATAGTTATAAATTAATGCTGTAATAACGAAATACTTTTCTCTCATCTCTTTTATTGAAAATTTAAATTAAATATTTGCCCACAATACTATACGATACAAACAATGCAAAACCTGTGATACATTTATAGTGATCATGATAGTCAACTACTATCATTCATGGTCATGGGAACCATATTTTTCACATTTGGTAAGGATGTTTTCAAATTAGAAGATAGAGTTATAAACTATATATTTACATGTCAAAGCATGTAGTAAGTAATATTATGTAATGTATTACATATCGTGTGTATAATTGGGTATTTTCTCGTTAAGCATACAATATAATCAACTTAATTTTTATTTAAATTGTTTTTTTTTTTGCATAAGGTTTTTCTTTGTAATATTTTCGATTATAATTACTTAGTGTAACTACAAGCTGGGTAAAGCCCATTAAAAATATGGCCCACAAGGCCCAATTTGTTTTATCCGCCCAATCAGAGAGGAGAAGAGGAGAGAGAGATCATGGCGAACGAAGAAGAAGATGGAGAAAAATCTCGAGACTCGTACCAACGGAACGGCAATAGGGCCAAAAGCCAGATCGTGATCGGTATTCCGACGTACGAGGAAGTCTTGGAAAGCTCGCAGGTGAAATCTACGCCGTCTCTCTTCAAGCCCTCGCAGAGTTTCTCTCAGGCCTTCGCTTTCGTCAAATCCTCCGACGTCTACTCTCCTCCTCCGCCTCCCTCCGCCGAAAATCCTCCGGGTGCTCATCAGGTGTCCGGATCAAGGTGTATACATACGTTTTTTAGTGTGTGTGTAAGAATATAGAGTCTCACACTACTTGGAATTAGATACCGCCTTAAATTTTCTGCTCGTATCGTATTTCCTGAACGCTGAGATTCTACGAATATGACATGTCTATCCCTTGCAAAGAGCAGAGGCAGTTGTTGAAACTTTGTTTATCTAGTCCAAAGGAAATTTCTTGAGATTCTGGTTTAAAAGTTTGAATTTTTCAGCTGTTTGGTTTCTTATGCTTTCGTCCCTTTTTTTTTTTTGTGTGACAATGGTTAATGTTTCGTCCCTTGCATTTCATTATCGATTTCATTCTGTAGGGCCAAATGTGTTTTGACTTGTTGTGATTTGTTTCTTTTTGTAGCAACCAAACGCTTCAATCTGATGTGGCCTCGTCCTCGTCTTCTTCTGTTAATGCTGCCCCTTTACCATCCAATTCTTCTCAAACTCGTAATGCTATACTTGTAAGCAATAGACAGGTGAGATGGCAAAACCTCGACTCATCGGCTTTCAGTTCTTTTGTACTTTTTGCAGTCAAAACCTTGTTGGTTTCTCGTTTGGTTTACATAATATCTTTGGATGATTGATAAGCTTTGTTCATAATCTTCCCTGATTAACCTGAAATCAATCTATTACTCTTGCTCTGTTGAATGCATTGTTGAGTATGCTTCAAGGTATTGCGTGTGGTACCGTTCTTTCTGTGTTTAGCATCTCTTCTCTTGCTTTTCGACCATATTGAGCCACCGGATAACCCTTGAACATGTCTTGAACAGACTTATTCGAACAAAAGATTGGATCTAGCTTTGCAGACGCGAATTATTGCTAACAGAATCACGTGTGTAGCTTGTCTGTCGTCTTTTCTTTGACACTCGAAATTGGGAAAAATATGTGAAATAGGGCTATGAGAAAATGTGATTATTGAGGCCAATCTGAGATAACTTGTAATTACTCTTCTGAATTCACCTGAGTTTATACGTCCTATGACATTGTGCAGAAAGGGAATCCACTTCTCAAACATATCAGGAATGTGAGATGGGTGTTTTCAGATATCATTCCCGACTACTTGATAGGACAAAACTCATGTGCTTTATACCTGAGGTTTGAACTCTATGACACTCTACTCTCATTTTCTGGCTCATAGGTCTAATCTATGAATTGATGCAAACCTGGGTTTACATGAAACTCAAACTAAGTGGAAATGGCAGAGTACTATTCTGTGAAGTCTCACAATTATGAGAAACATTGGTTTGCTGCAGCCTGCGGTATCATCTACTGCACCCAGATTACCTATATTACCGCATTAGGGAACTACAAAAGAACTTCAAGCTGCGTGTTGTTCTTTGCCACATTGATGTTGTGAGTTTCTATACTGTTATCATATTTGATGCCGAATCTGAGGAAAACCAAATTGTTCATTTACCGTTAAGCCTACCGTTCTCATGCTCTGTTATCGTATTTCACAGGAGGATGTGGTGAAACCGTTGCTAGAGGTGACAAAAACCGCTGAAACAATTTCTTACATCATATGGACCGTCATCATTATCTCTTTACCGCCGATTATTTTAGGATTTATTGTCCAACATTTTATTTAAATCATTGGATAGCATCCATTAGTCAAATTCCATCTAGAAGCATTTAGATCTTAATGCATATATGTATGCCGTATGCCAAAGCATTCATATATATTTATTTCATCATTTGAGCTCTGATTTAAAGCATTTCAATCCGTCTGCAACTTAAAGACACATTTTCGTGTTAATCTCTTGCAGCATGGCAGAATGTGCCCGTTACTTGGAAACGATAAAAGTCTATGAACACAAACCAGCTGATCTTATCCAAGGTCAAATGGACACAGATTATCTATCGCGGGTAAGGAAATTATGTTTCAGCTTCAGGCGATGTGAAGTATTGAATCTGTTTTGGGGAATGAATTTCCGTTGTCTTGCAGCTCAATCAGGCTCTTACAACCATTCGGCATGTGAACAAGACTGATGTAGTCACCCTTGGTTCTACATTCGGGGTAGGGCTACATCTGAGATTTTCTTTGTATTCACGCATTAAGACTCTGGCCCCTTTATCTGATGCAACTTAACGAGGATGTTTATGCAGTCACTTGCTCATATAATAGATGCATCCATGGAAGACTTAGCTCGTTGTCCTGGGATTGGAGAACGTAAGGTACGTTTCCTCTCGTTGAAATCACCAGCACGTTGGATCAAGACATAGGTTATTAATTAAGTTGAGGATGATATGGACTGCTGGATCAAGGTTTTAAAAGGGAAAGGTTAACAGTCTTGTGATCTATGTGAACTGCAGGTGAGACGCTTGTACGATACTTTCCATGAACCTTTTAAGCGTGCAATTCCCATTCAACCTCCTATTCCAGAAGCTACAAATCCCGAAATTGCCGCTGATAAAGACGATGACTTGCAAGGAACTGCCGAAGACGAGGATTTCGTTGAAGATTCTAGAAAACGGAAGAAGAAAGAGCCTGAGAAGACTGTCAAGTCCGCGCTCTCGACTGTTTTCGCCAGATATTCCGATAAACTCGGCAAAAAGAACGAGAAACAGAAAGGAAAAGATACAAATACGCAATCGGACCCTGAAGCTGATAAAAGTTAACCCGATGTTGTTCAAAGGGATAGTCGATGAATTTAATCGTTGATCACATTTCTGTTTTTCCAGTTGATCGGTCTCAGAACACATGCAAATGGAGACCAGAGAATGGCATGAAACATGGAAGTCCAAAGCATTTGCTCTGTAACATAGTAGTTCATTGTGTGTGTTTTTTTCTTCTTTCAACTTCATTATATTCTTGTCCTTGGATTTGTAGCGATTGATCTTTAGTTACAATTTTGTAAAATGAAAACCTGTGCATGGATTTGTAGCGCGATTGCTCTTGTTTTCCGCATTATGTATGGAAGTTTTCTTCAACATTGTAATACGCAAGACATGTTTATGTTTTATTTTTTTATTTTTTTAAATAAACAAAGAGTTTTCCGTTTTGCACATATATATATATATATATATATAATTGTATTTTGGCAAGCATGATAATTGTCGGGATCCAAGCAAAGAGGGTCGTCATAAAAGCTCGAAGTTCGTGCATCAGTCTTCAACGCTGATTTATAGCTTTCGGTGTGAAAGTTTTTTTTAATTGCAAAAGAATGGGAAAAGAAAAAAAGTGCAGAGAATATTTGAATTGCAAGTTACCATCCATCAACTCATTTGGGTAAAACGTAACAAAAGCAAATTCTATCCATTCAATGCATGAGCTTTCAAGACACCTATACATATATATATATATATATATATATGTGTGTGTATGTATATATATTATGTAATTTCAATGAACATAAGCATGAAAAAGTAACTGAGGATGTTGGAATTATAGGGGGACAAAAGTGAAAGACTATGATGGATAAAAAACGAAAGAAAGAAAGTCTTGGAAGTCTGACCCAAGATCATTAAACAAAAGCAAACTCTACACATATACATATACATCATATATATATATATATGTATTATATAAGTGTATTGATATGGGATTCTGAATCTCTGTGTGTTGGGTTTTCGGACCAAAGCAGATGTTAAATCTGCTTCATGTCTTCCCAAACCCAATAAAGTGTTGTTTCACTTCTCTTTTCTGACCCTCGGGATTTGTTCTCCAACATTATTTTCAATTTCACCCCTTTTTTCTTCTTTTCTTACAACTTTACCCCCATAAAATCTTTAACTTATTTTTATTTGCATAATTAATTCGAGATTTATATTATACCTGAAAATTTAGTTTAAATTTATATTTTCATTAGAATCCCATACGTTGAACTCTCACCCACTTCGGTCTTAAGAATAGTTTCATGACTTGGGCAATGAAATTGTATATCAATTATTTTACCTTCACAAAAAAAAGGCAAAGAAACCGTTTTTTTTGTTGAAAATAATTAGAATTATTTTTTTGTCAAGATTTTTTTCTTGAAGTGTATGAAATAATATTTTAAACTTTTGAAAAAAAAAATTATAATAAAAAACTAAATAATTTTGACTGAATTGAGTTTGAACCAATCAAATCACATCTTTTCAGTCACCTATTCTTCTGCCCGTTTTCCCTTTGGCTCAGCTACTTCGTATCTAATCTAAAGCACACTTTTATATACTAACTTTCTCTCCCTCAACATTTTTAAACTTTCTTTTCAATTTTATTTTTATTTTTTTTACCATCCAATCAATATACACATGTATGCATGTATGATGTATGTATGCATGTGCATGCTTGCATGTGTTATGTATGTATGTATAAACCTTCCTGACCGATGTAAACGCGGATGGAACGAGTAGAACCAAATCCAACTGAATGGTAACCACAAGAATCACCATCTTATTCTTATCCTCAACGACAAGGGACCCTTTGGGACTTTGGGTTTGATGTTTTGTGTTTGCCATTTATGTTTTCATATGAATCTTATATATTGTCCTTGGCAAGCAAGGGCATATATGTCTTATCGCATGTACGTACGCACCTATAGTATAGATGCTTTTGTACTTAACGATGCTACATTTCATTATAATATATATATATATATATATATCCAATATATATTGTATCCAAATTTAGGGACCCAATTGTGGGCTTTAAGGTCACCATACACGAGCTGTGATCACTGCAATTAACTGTGGTATCCTTTTTTAAATTTATTGTATTGACAGTTAAATAGGTATAATTAGAGAGTTGTGCATTAAAATGACTTAAATAAAAAATGGAAAAATTAGAATTTAAAAAATAGTGCAAAATTTATAGTTGATAGTACATTAGATTAATGAAAAATTAGTGTTTACTTTTTAAGTGGTGTCGTAAATTATTACCAATTGTATTCATTGAAAATTCTATTAAATTATTGCTCTCGTTTTGTTGGCTCTATCCTTTTTTTTTTTTGGATAATCCGAAAATTCACCACATCTTTGACCCGACTACATCTTTCAGAAAACCGGAGAAGTCCATGTGCATGCCCCTACCCACGCTTGGATTTAAACCCAGAATGAAAGCATGCTTTGCATGTTCTCTCACTACTAGGCCACTCAAGCTTGGGTTTGTTGGCCCTATCTTATATTAACGAAGATATAAAGAAGCGGAGTTCTCTCCATACAAAGATTTAAATAAGGAACAAAAGGGATCACAATCAACTGTTGAATCTTTTTTTTTTTGGTTTGGTTGTTTGTTGATAATTCCACTAAAATGAATAACTTTTTAAAATAAAAATAAAATTAATAATTGATCATTTATGGTTTATTAAATGAAAAAAAGAGAGAGAGAGGAGCAAGTGATTGGTGGTTGAAGCTGGCCCAAGAAAACAAATACACAGCAGAAGTGCCCCCCAACCAACCTGTCTTATGGACCCATCAAGCCCATCAAACATTACTATCCCTTCATCTTGTAAAATATTATCCCTTTCATGTAACCAAAAAATGAAATTGGAAAATTTTCTAAAACTAAATTATTTGAATTTAGATGAAATCAAATTTTCAATAAAATCCAAATAAATATAAGTTTTACGAAATTTTAAAAGTTAAATTTACAAATAATAAACCAAAACGTGATACACAAACCAAAAACAATTGGTTTTTGTTAATTATTTTTTTCTTCTTCTTAATTTGCTTCATCGTTGCATATGTACAGCTGAAAATATGTGTTTCAATGCATGCAATGGAATATCATGGGCATATATGTATGTGCACATTTCTTGAAGTGAATCGTGATTACAACACGACAGAATTTAATTATTGAACATTTTAAAGTCCTAAATACAGGTACATCCGAATATGTTTTTGTCATAAACACGGCTATGTATTATTGTTATACACGACTCTTAAATAAAATAAATATACACTAATCCATTTGTGTTAATATTGTTCGCCAAAAACATTATTATGATGATGAATCATTGGAATGTGCCAGCGTGGTTCCATGGTACAAAGCTGTACTTCACTTTTGAGTGAAGCCGGCAAAAAAAAAGCTTCTTTGGTTCACTTGACGGCAAACATTTTAAAAAATGCAAAAAAAAAAAGAGAAAAATATCTCAAAAAAATCAATAAAAAATGTTTGGTATTTTTTTTTTATGATGTCGTTGTTATCTATATTTGCAGATCAGGGAGAGAGATTATCTTGCTCCCTGTTCGACCGCGGCCTCTCTCTCTCCTTCGTCCTCTCTGTCTCTCTCTAGGGCTCAGACATAAAGCCATTAGACAGAGAAACAGAAACGACACGAGTTTTTAATTAGTGTGTTGATCCATTGTCTCTGTCCGAAACCAACTACGGCGACCGACTTTAAAAGCGCCCTCTTATAGTCTCTTCCATCAGTGTGTCTTCCTCTTCAGAATTCACACCAAAGAGGGAGGGAAGAAACAAGGAAGAGAGGGTTCTCTCTATACACATATTTGTGGCTGTGAAACCAAAGATCTTGGAAAAATGAATAAACAAGATGTTATGAAGCTTCAGGTAGATCTCTCTCTCTCTCTCTCTCTTTCTCTCAGAAGTGTACATGTATATGCGTATAATATGTTTATGATGATTCTTCTTTCTTGGGATTTTGTTGCAGACGTGTGTTCTGAGGGTGAACGTACACTGTGAAGGGTGCAAACACAAAGTGAAGAAGCTGTTGCAGAAAATTGAAGGTGTGTTCTTGCCACCCTTTTCGTTTCCTTCTTTGCCCGTAATTTTTCCATGACTGGCAATGGTTTATGTAATGATATCTTCTTGACATGATTATGATATGGCAGAGCTTATGTTGTTCAAGCAATCATTTTTTTTTTGGATTTTTTGTATGTGTTCATAGCTACAAAGCCATGAGATTTTTCATTTATCAAATCGGTGTTTTGTCAAACCTTGGACACCTGTCTTTACAGTCCGGTGATACTGAATTGTTGTTGTGGGGGAGTGATGGACAGTCACAGTGGAGGACAAGGAAAGAATATACTACAAAACTAAGGGTTCTTCCACAATCAAAGTGGATAAAAGATTTGAAATTTATGGGTGGGGTTTTCCTGTCGTGTCAGATAGACCAGATTCAGCACTCCATGATTGAAGCTTCAGTCCTTTTTTTTTGTAACATCAAAGTTTCATTACATAAACGAAGAATCCAAAGTCTGAAACTTTCTAACTGGGTTTCGCCATTTATGCGCTTAAACCGAAAATTTGCCGCAACAGTTAAAAAAAACTTTGAGAATCTGACTGATTTTGGTGGGTTTTGTTTTCATGGATTAGGTGTGTACTCAGTGAAAGCAGATGTGGAACAAGGGAAAGTGACGGTGACAGGGAACGTTGATCCTGCGGTTCTGATCAAGAAGCTCAGTAAGTCCGGCAAGCACGCCGAGCTCTGCGGCGGCGGAGGAGGAGGAAAGGGTTTCCCAAATCTGAATTCTCAGTTCAGTGACCTGAATTTGGGTGGCAAAATGGTAAATGTCAGCAAACCTAAGGGTGGAAAAGACAGTCAACAGGGGAAGGGTCACGGAGGAGGAGGAGGTCATCCAATGCAACAGTTGAATCCTCAGCAGATTCAGCAGATGATGATGATGAAGGGCGCTAATGGTCCTGGTGGACATGGTCATGGTCATGGTGGTGGGAAAGACATGAAGATGCCCAAGGAGCAGAAACCTATGAAGTTTGCTGATGATGATGAGTTTGACGACGACGATGATTTCGACGAGGACGACGATGAGTTTGATGATGATTTCGATGATGAGTTCGATGATGAGTCTGAAGATGAAGAGGTAGGTCATGGTCATGGTCATAACTTGCCTAAACAGATGATGATGATGCCCAACAAAATGGCTCCAATGGGCCATGGGCCCAAAGGTCCCAATGATATGATGATGATGATGAATGGTTTCAACAAAAGCGCGGCCGGCAAGAAGGGCGGAGGCGGTGGTGGTGGTAGTTTTGAAATTCCGGTGCACTTGAAGGGTAAAATTGGAAATGAAGACAAAAAAGGAGGAGAGAAGGGTAAGAAGGAAGGGAAGGAGAATAATAAAGGAGGTGGGGGCAAAAGTGGGAAAATCGAGTCAAAAAGTATTGGGCTGCTGGGGTTTCTGAAGAAGGGCAAAAGTGGAAAAGGCGATGACAAGAAGGCAGCGAAGAAGAAAGAAGGCGGTGGGGGTAATAAGGTCAAATCAGGGGGTGGAGCCGATGGCGCTCATTTCTTCGATAACGGGCCTAAAAAAGGTGGGCCCAAAGGGGCCCATAATGGTGGAGCCCATGACATAGATGAGCTCATGAAGCAAGTCAAGGGAAGCAACAACAAAGGCAATCACAACAAGAGCTTTGGAGGCCCAATGGGCCAAAACAACACCTTTGGAGGCCAAATGGGCCACTTCGGCTCAATGACTCAAACCCCGATGGGAAATTATCCGGCGGTTCAGGGCTTGCCCATGAACGGCGGCCGCGGCGGCGGGTTCTATCCGCCGGCAGTGAGCCATCCGATGAACCAGCAGCAGTACATGCACATGATGATGAACCAGCAGGCCACGGCAGGGGCGGGGCCCC